CTGTGTGACGGTTCTGGTGACTGGTGTCTCTCCTCCCTGTCAGGTTCATCGTCCTGTACATACTTTTTTTGGAGTGGTGGTTATGGCTTCCCATTTAATTTTGTTCCTGACTCTGCAATTTCTCAGGATGTTATTCAGTGTTTTTAAATTTGATGGTCATTCCTGTTGCCTGTCACGTGGTCTCTTCAACCACAAGTGATTATAAGGCAAACTGTATGCCGCTTGTCAGCTAAGCTTTAAGATGATGGCTGTGTGGCCCCTGTCCACCGTGGGTGGTGTGGATGCTGATTCCTCAGTTTTTTCCTAGGTTACTTTACGAGCGTCTGCTCCTCGACACTTAATTGTGCATCGTAACATCCTGCAGCTTTCTTGGCTGGCGGTGGCCAGTTCGACCTGCCGGAGGTCAGCTGCAGATCATTCAGTAATTTCTCCCATATTTGCCTGTATTCCAGTTTCAAGCAAGAAGTCATTTGCCTCAGTCAGAGGGTTCGATTCGTTTCCTTTCCTTGTGGAATTGAATTCCAGGGATAGCCCGGCTTCTAGTTTCTTGGGATTTAGTTATCATGCAGGGCGCGTCAAACTGCGCGCAAATGTGCTTTCTCACTTCAGTCCTATCTCGAATGGAGTGGTTGTAGCCGGGGCCTCCTTCCTCTGGATTTACAAGATGTATGGCCATCCACAGATGAACCTCTACATATAATCGACAGCTTCTGAGGCCAGATTCACGCACTTACGAACCTGTACATCTTTTCTCAATCTTTGGCGGCTTTGTTTCCAATTATTAAACAGTTAATGAGCTCCGAAGCACCAGAAGGCTGTTTATAACAATAACAGCAGTTGAATGGGAAGTTTTCATGCTTGTAAACTGTTTAATGAATGCAACCAAAGCCGTCAAAGATTGAGCAAAGATGTACACGTTTGTAAGTGCTTGCGTACGTGCTTTCGTGAATCTGGCCCCTGTCTCTGTGGTGCAGTTTCCTGATCATGAAGCTTGTTTGCGGTGGATATCATTCCTCCTGGACTGAGGTCGATGGCTTTACTTTTACTTCTTTCATTCAGTCCAACTCTTTCTTCCTGTGTTGGCCAGGCTGAGGATGTTGGGAAGCTGAGGCCTCCTCCTGCCTTCCATGTGGCTGGTTCAGACCGGGTCTCCAGACATCTGGCTCGTTGTCCCAGTCTTCTGTCCTTCCAGAGTTTCTGCTTCTTCAAGCGGATCAGTGGCATAATTTATCTAGAAAGTTCGAGACTCTTTCCTAATATTTGAGTACAGATTGTATGTATTTTTACCGTAGTCTGTATGGGGATCGGGTGGCGGGTCTGTAGGTGTCACATTCATGGCTCTCTTCTCAGGAACAATATGATGTGGCTTAAAGACCCTTCCATCTTATCCTGTCTTTTGCCTCTGGTATCTGTATATGTTGCTATTGTGTTGTCTTGTATTTCCTGGCATTTCTTTGGTCTCTGGTTGATGGCTAGTACTGTAGTGTCGCCTCCTCACATCGTTCGGCCGTAGTGGAGTGTCATTTCCTGACACTTGGGGGGGTCTGGTTTCATTGCCTCTCTTTTCCCAGTTGGCGGAGAGGTGCTGGGGTCCGGCGGGCCCCTGGAGGTTCCCGTGTTCCCTCTGGAGGTGGAGGGTGCTTGCCTCTCACTGCCGGGGTTGTTAACCTGTGTGGAGGGTTGTCTGCCGGTGGCTGCCCTGCCGGGGGTATTCGGGTGTCGTCGGGTGGTTGGCGCCACTAGGACTGTTTTCTTTTGCTGTCTGGTTACGTTTTGCTATCGGGATAGTTTCAACATGTCTGCCATCGAGAGGGGATCCCGTTTAGTCAGAGACGATTGGTTTTAATTATAATAATAATTCCTGTGTCGGGGGGACAGGAAGCCAGGTTATTTTAACAATAGGTAACAAGGTAACAAACCCTGTTACCAAGCAGTAAAATAGGTACCTGGGTGTTAGTCAGCTGTCACGGGCTGCTTCCTGGGGGTGGAGGCCTGGTCGAGGACCGGGCCGCGGGGACACAAAAAAAAAGCCCCGAAATCATCTGAAGATAACCTCAAGATATACATAAAGTACATGTTAGGCTTATATCGAGGTCCCCCCCCCCCCCACCAGAATGCAACCCCACAACAAGCTGACTAACTACTGGGTTCCTATTTACTGCAAGGTGGACAGGAGCATGAGCTGATAGGAAACGCATCCTACCATTGTTGTGCAACCTGTCCTCACACTAGGCTGTTTAAAGCAGTGGCCGTCCTCCCAGAGGCATTCAATTTTAACGTACTGTGTATTAAAAATTGGTTTATATTCGTATATAAATTATTATTATACATACAAATTCTATTGAAAGTTAAGCGTAGGTTAGATAAAGTTAGGTGTTTAGGTTCTGTTGAAGTTTTGTGGTTCGAACAAAATTCGTCAGTGAAGCACTTGTTCCGGAAGTAAAAAGACGAAAGTTCAAGTTCAAGTACCTTTATTAAGACAAGAAATAAATAAATCTCAAAGGGATAGAGTAGCTTAGGCTACTCTATCTCAATTTCTACCTTCTAAGCTACTCTATCCATTTGAGATGTATTTCTTTCTTGTCTCAATAAACATACTTGAACTTGAACCCCCCTAAACTTGAACCCCCCTTTGTCAGTCTCCGTGGTGTAGTGGTAAGACACTCGCCTGGCGTTCCGCGAGCGCTATGTCATGGGTTCGTATCCTGGCCGGGGAGGATTTACTGGGCGCAATTCCTTAACTGTAGCCTCTGTTTAACGCAACAGTAAAATGTGTACTTGGATGAAAAAACGATTCTCCGCGGCAGGGGATCGTATTCCAGGGACCATAGGATTAAGGACTTGCCCGAAACGCTACGCGTACTAGTGGCTCTACAAGAATGTAACAACTCTTGTATATATCTCAAAAAAAAAAAAAAAAAAAAAAAAAAAAAAAAAAAAAAAAAAAAAAAAAAAGACGAAAATAAGCAGCTGGTGACGCCTAAGCAAGTCGACGGTCCAAGCGACAATGTTGTGTAGGGACTTATCCAAGACACATTGTTGCTTGGAGAGTGTTTGCTGGCATATCAGCCTCCTGTACCTACCTAACCTACCCAAACCTAACCTAACTAAACCTAACTTAATATAATCTATTAAAGTATAGTAAAGCAAGTATATATATCTTGGATAAGTCGCTTCACAAAATTTTTCGCTTGGATCGTCGACTTCCTATGGCCTCTCATGCCACTTAGTTTCATCTAATTTCGTCATAAACTTATATTTTTCAGAGGTAAAATATGTCTTTTCATGTTCTATCTTTAGCACCAACAATATAGTGAGTAAATATATCATATTTCCTCATTACTTACGTAGTACTAGGAAGCTTTGGGTAGATTTGGGTAATTAGACATACCCGGGGTGGGGGTGTGGGGGTGTGGTAGGGTCTAAGATCTGGGGAAATTTTCAGCAACCTTCGTCATCAAATCAAATCAAATCAAATGTTTATTTAGGTAAGGTACATACATACAAGAGATTTTACAAAGAGTGATGGATTTATAGATAGAGCTAGTACATACAATGCCTAAAGTCACTATTACGCAAAGCGTTTCGGGCATGAAAAACTTAAATGACTAAAGCTTAATACTAATTGAGCATAAAGAATAAAATGAGTTGAGAACAAATGAAAAAAAAATAAAAAAGGGGGGAACATGGCTGAAAAAGCAGCACAAATACAATTCCGTCGACAAACAGAATCGTTACTCTTTAAACCTAATCTAACCCAGCTCAGCCTGGTTAACTTGATGAAGCCAAATGCAACCTGACCCTACCCAACCTGGACCAACCCAACCTAGCCCAACCCAACCCAACCCAACTTGTCCCAATCCAATCCAACCTGACTCATCACAGCCAAACCTAACCCCATCCAGCCTAACTTAACCCAACCTAAGCTAACCCAACCTAAGCTAACCCAACCTAAGCTAACCCAACCTAAGCTAACCCAACCTAAGCTAACCCAACCTAAGCTAACCCAACCTAAGCTAACCCAACCTAAGCTAACCCAACCTAACCTAACCCAACCCCAACCTCCCCAACGTAACCTAACTAAAATAGGTGATAAAATGTTTTATATATGGTATGCACGAGGTGTGTGATGTCACTATAATGTCATAATTTTATCCCAGGTCAGGTACTGTTTGGGTGGGTATTTAAGTTAGTTAGTTTAGTTCATTTATTATGCACCCCATACCCATCTTGTGGGCGGTAGTGGAAAGGGTTACAGAGGCACATAATGGGCTCAGGGACTCAACTCCACAATTCATTTAGCTAAGCAAGTTACAATCTTGATGAGCTAGTTACAAAATTCAATATAAGTCATCACATCAACAATGGGTTCGAGATCGACCTCAAGTACAGGTTCTAAATTAAGCAACTGACATGTGTGGAGAGCTAGTGTCAAAATTGACATGTTTGTCCTGCACACCGCCCCCCCCCCCCCATCCAGTGGGCAGCGGTGGATAGGTTACAGTCACTCAGTTACTACCTACAGTTAGCAAACTGGGGATATTTGGCTAAAATTTCTGGTAGCTGATCATTTTGGGTGGGTATTTAATAGGGTGGGTGTGGCGGGGCGACCTGGGCTGCCATCTGGTAAATGAGGTTGGTATGTAGCCCAATCTATACTACAGATGCATTATTGTCTATGTAGAATCAATAAAATATTTAAACAACTGGGTCTTCCTCAAAACACTCAAATTTAACTGGAATGGAATAATGAAGAAACCTTTGACAAGCCTCTGGCTTTCCATCCCTGTCGAGGCCTCGAGAGGGTGGCACTTGTGTAAATTCACGTAATTCAGGTAATTACACATGGAAAATATGATAATACTGAGGTGGAAACATCGGTAAGCCTAAATACAGGCTTCTTGTCTCCAACAACGAGATTTATTATTATTATTATTATTGTTTGTTTGACTCATTCAGACCAAGAGGGATAATTAATACACTAATTTATTACCACGCAGGAATTGGCGGTATTCTGGTGATGGGAGTCGGCATCTTCGCCAGCGGTGTGTTCATCAGGAAAGCCAATCCCACAGCTAGAACTGTTGCTGGCTGGATTGCTTTAACTGCCCTCATCTATTCTATAGGTATGTTTTGTGATTATTGCCCTCGTCTACTCTATAGGTATGTTTTGTGATTATTGCCCTCGTCTACTCTATAGGTATGTTTTGTGATTACTGCCCTCGTCTACTCTATAGGTATGTTTTGTGATTATTGCCCTCGTCTACTCTATAGGTATGTTTTGTGATTATTGCCCTCGTCTACTCTATAGGTATGTTTTGTGATTACTTCCCTCGTCTACTCTATAGGTATGTTTTGTGATTATTGCCCTCGTCTACTCTATAGGTATGTTTTGTGATTATTGCCCTCGTCTACTCTATAGGTATGTTTTGTGATTATTGCCCTTGTCTACTCTATAGGTATGTTTTGTGATTATTGCCCTCGTCTACTCTATAGGTATGTTTTGTGATTACTTCCCTCGTCTACTCTATAGGTATGTTTTGTGATTACTTCCCTCGTCTACTCTATAGGTATGTTTTGTGATTACTGCCCTCGTCTACTCTATAGGTATGTTCTGTGATTACTTCCCTCGTCTACTCTATAGGTATGTTTTGTGATTACTGCCCTCGTCTACTCTATAGGTATGTTCTGTGATTACTTCCCTCGTCTACTCTATAGGTATGTTTTGTGATTACTGCCCTCGTCTACTCTATAGGTATGTTTTGTGTAGCCAGTCATCCAGTAATGATAGTGTTTATATCAACTATTGGTTGAACCTACAAAAATGGACTGTTGTACTCGGAAAGAATTCACGTTTTGTACTAATCTTGTAGGGGCTTGATAAAGGTGTAGTATATCATATTCTATATGTACTAAATTAGGCCAACGATAGATCATTTAGACCTAGGACATGTTAGGTTATATAATTACTATTCAAATTTTAAGCATGCCATTTTGGAGTATTTTAATACAGTAGTACAAAATGTGAACTTTTTTGTGTACGGCAGTACATTTTTGTACATTCCACAATAGTTGCTATAAATACTATTATAATAAGAATAATAACTACTGTACAACAATATGGGTGGTATATCAGCAAGGTTACCTAATTTAGTTCTAAGTGAGAGGATTATATTATTGACATCTGGGGAATTGGTAGGGTAATAGGTAGACTCAGGATTGGTGGCTGTGAGGTAGTCAACTCAATCTAATTAACATTAAGTTGGGATGCTGGGATTTCATTGGTAAGGGATGTATGTGTGCCAATGGAGAAGAGACTTGAATTTAGTAACTGTGTCAGTGTTACTAAATTCAATAGCACTCCATTGCCACCAGCTTGGAATATTTGATTCTTATTAAAGTTCTTTGAAGGTAATATCTGAGAAATAGTGTTCCATTTTTTTTATATTGATTAAATTTATTTTCATAGCTTGCTTTGGCCCCTATATTATCTTAAGATAGGATTGTAGAGGACCTCTTAAGACAGGTCTATGAATATGACTCCCTATCCTATACATCTTCTGTAGCTTTATTTGTAACTCTAATAACAGCAAACACAAATTGGCTTAATGAAGATGAAGGAATAATTGGTTTTGCCGTGTTTGTGTGTATATCAAGGTCTTCCCTGAGGTCAAACTACTGATTCCCCTCAGGATGCAGCTCCACAACAGTTGCCTAACTCCTGAGTACCTATTTACTACTAGGTGAACAGAGACATTAGATGAAAGGAAATGTGCCCAACCATTTCCATCCCTTCCGAGAACTGAACCCAGAATTCCTGATTGTGAGTCAAGAATGGAGCCAACTGTACTATTTATTTATTTTATTTTTTTATTTTATGCATATACAAGAATGTACATAAGGAATGTGAGGATACAAATATGGTAATTACAGTCTTGTAAAGCCACTAGCACGCGCAGCGTTTCGGGCAGGTCCTTAATCTAAGAAAATTTTAAGGAGGTAAATACTTGCAAAATTTATAGACAAAAAAATGATAACAGATTACATGAAATGAAAAAAAAAAAAAAGAAGATGAGAGAAAATTGTAGGTACAGTATATTAAAGCACATAGGTAGCTAAGATTGATTGCAATGACAGCTTAAAATGGTAGTTGACAACAAATTGGTAGGCACAATACAGCAGAAACAATATAAGATTGATTGCAATGACAGCTTGAATGGTAGTTGACAAAAATTGGTAGGCACAATACAGCAGAAACAATATAAGATTGATTGCAATGACAGCTTGAATGGTAGTTGACAAAAATTGGTAGTCACAATACAGCATATGGCTAGCACATAAAAGAAGACAGCAATGAACACAATGATAAGGTTGTTTGATATTACATAAAAATTAGGAGATTGGGTAACACTAGGTACTACAACTGTGCTTCTTGGTAAGACAGCTGTACTGATTCGACGGGGAGTGGGAATACTGTACAGTATATATATTTCTTATAATATAATAATAATAATAATAATTAGGAAAAGTACATACATAGTTGCAGAGTTACAGTACAAGCATTCTGTTTGATTTAAAGATAGAGGTAGTACATACAATACCTAAAGCCACTAGTACGCATAGCGTTTCGGGCAATAGTAACTATTTGACATGTAATGCAATGCTTACATGTCAAAATAGGTATTTTTTCTCTTGTTAGATTGGTCAAGAGAGTTCAGCATTCTATTGCAATATAGAAACCTTTATTTGCATGGCATTTCTGCTTTGGTTTTATTTATATACAGTATTTATTTATTTAGCTCTCATCCTCCCTTTGGCTTCAGGTATTTATAGTGGGGGGGGGGATTATAATGTTCCCTTCCACTATATTCATGATCCTCACTATTGAATCATAAACCTTCATTGTTTTAAGAAATGTTTTTGATACTGAAAATCCCAATATTCTCCTACACTTGAGCATGATGGTATTCAAGGACATTCTTAATTATATTCAATGTACAGTATCTTGACAACAGATCCTGTTATGAACCTGATCTCCAGTATCCAGTAATTTGTATACTGTAGTTGATAGTTTGGAGAGAGAGAGAGAGAGAGAGAGAGAGAGAGAGAGAGAGAGAGAGAGAGAGAGAGAGAGAGAGAGAGAGAGAGAGAGAGAGACAGAGAGACAGAGAGACAGAGATAGACAGAGATAGACAGAGAGACAGAGACAGAGACAGAGACAGACAGAGACAGACAGAGACAGACAGATAGACATTATATAAAAAAATAAGGTGTGGATGTTGCAGTTCGTGGAGGTGGCAGTCAGCTGGTTGCCGGCAGACCGGAGGGCAGTGATCTCTCTCCTCATGTCAAAGTAATTTCCTCCTACAGTATTTTCGTTGATTGTGGATAACCTGTAGAATATACTGTACTATATATCTAAATGTCTTGTAAATTAAAAATAATTTTTTTTTATATATATAAGGCCTACCAGTAGAGTACAGTATTGTTAAACGAGAATATTTAGGGATTATTCGATGATAATTTGACATCTGGTATTAAGGGGGGCAGAAGTGAGATGGTGTCCTCAAGAAATAGACCAGAAAATGGCAAACAGGGAGGTCATGTTGGACAGAGGACTCACTGCTTTAGAGATTCTAACTGCCAAGACAGTCACATTTCATATTCATTTAACTTGCAGTTTGTCAGTGTTGTTTTAAGGGACTACAGGGTAGTTATATGTAGAAAATCCAGATACCTGAATATATTTGTCTCTCATGGATGATGATCTTAGTTTGAGTAGACCACTATTAATGTCTATGTTGCTAGACTAAGGTGTATTGTGAATATTATGACTATTATAATATTTCTGATTCTTGTACCCCTGTATATTAACCAAGGTACAGGAAAGATGAGTGGGAGCTCCACTGAATGTTTACCAAGTATATGTTTTTTTTATCTGTAAATATATATTTTTACTGTCACATTACCTAGGTGTTTCCGTGCTACTTTGGGATTTTCCCTGTACCTTTACCAGCAGGCTAAGATTAATTACAAATCCCTAGGAGGAGGTTATCTTGAGGTTATCTTGAGATGATTTCGGGGCTTTTTTTTTTTTTTAGTGTCCCCGCGGCCCGGTCCTCGACCAGGCCTCCACCCCCAGGAAGCAGCCCGTGACAACTGACTAACACCCAGGTACCTATTTTACTGCTAGGTAACAGGGGCATAGGGTGAAAGAAACTCTGCCCATTGTTTCTCGCCGGCGCCTGGGATCGAACCCAGGACCACAGGATCACAAGTCCAGCGTGCTGTCCGCTCGGCCGACCGGCTCCCTTTTTGGAGAGGACTAATTAAGTGAAACTACCCACTCTCCTTCATTGGAGAGGACAATTAAGTGAAACTACCCACAGGGCAAAAGTCACCCATAGGGTAAAAGCCCAGATAGAAGGGTCAAAAGCAATAGAAACCCAGCCTGTGACAGACAAGATTCATTCAGAACCTTGTATACATCATATGTCGGACCAGTACTGGAATATGCGGCTCCAGCCTGGAGTCCACATCTCGTCAAACACAAAACGTAGAAAAGGTTCAGAGGTATGCCACCAGACTAGTCCCCGAGCTGAGAGGAATGAGCTACGAGAAAAGATTACTGGAACTAAACATCATGACACTGGAAGACAGAAGAGTTAGGGGAAAACATGATCACTACCTATAAAATTTTCAGAGGAAGTGACAGGGTAGATAAAGATAAATTGTTTAGCACAGGTGGTATGCGAACAAGGGGGGACAGGTGGAAACTTAGTACTCAAATGAGCCACAGAGATGTTTGAAAGAACTTTTTCAGTTTCAAAGTAGAAACAGATGGAATGCATTAGGCAGTGATGTGGTGGAGGCAGACTACATACACAATTTCAGATGTAGATTTGATAGAGCCAAGTAGGCTCAGGAATCTGTACACCAGTTGATTAGTTGAGAGGCAGGACCAAAGTGCCAAAGCTCAACTTCTGCAAGCACAACTAGGTGAGTACAACTAGGCAATTAACAATACATAGTCATCAATGACACTTCCCATTAAATATAGGAGTACTTCAGTCTGCTGGCATATCACATATTTCTTATATCAATGACCTGCCACAGGCATCTAACTTCTAAACCCTATACAATTTGCTGATGACATTGTTATCCTCAACCCACTTGTCCTAAATTATATAGTAAACCATGAATTAAAAAAATCCATTTATTGATATCAACCTATAGGCTTGCACTGAACATTTGAAGAGAAAACCTTCTGCATTTTCTGTGGGGAGCTCTGTTGGCTCCCTGAAGTTATCCAAACTGATATAATGCTTTATTAGTTTAGGGTCATCAGTGACAGGAGTTGTTATGCCTACCGGAAACCACAAGCCAGAACCTGGCCCCAGATTAACAAAACAGTTACGCAAATACTTACGAACGTGTACATTTTTCCTCAATCTTTGACACAATACAATACAATACAATACAATTTTATTTAGGTAAGGTACATACATACAATAAATATTTACAAGGATTGTTTAACTTATAGGTATAGCTAGTACATACAATGCCTAAAGCCACTATTACGCAAAGCGTTTCGGGCATAAAGCTTTGGTTACATTTATTAAACAGTTTACAAGCATGAAAACTTTCCAATCAACTGTTGTTATTGTTATAAACAACCTCCTGGTGCTTGGAAGCTCATTAACTGTTTAGTAATTGTAAACAAAGCCGTCAAAGATTGAGAAAAGATATACAGGTTCGTAAGTGTTTGTGTAACTGCTTTGTGAATCTGGCCCCTGGATCTCTCAGAGAGGCGCAGGGAGCAATTTCCTATGAGCACTTTACATTTAAAGTATGTCATATTTTGCCATCGACCGGGGAAGGCACCCAGAAAGATAGGCAAAACAAAACAAATGACAGTGTGGTGAAAATTGCTACCTACATCCAGAATGAGCAAAGAAACTCCCCCAGAAAGAAAGCAAACCAGCAACTGTTCGTGTAACAAGTACTCTCGCTTGTTAGGCTTACCCCCCCCCAGAAGGGGGAGAGAGAGCTGGGCCCCCCCCCTTAATTTGCTGAGCATTTTTTTGGGGGGGAGGTCAACACCTTCGAAATACCTCAAACCCATTGTCACCAGCAAAAATCTACTTTCATAACTACACACATTCTCTTTTTGCTTTTAAGAAGTTCTATATACAGTACAGTACTTTTTATACAGATCCTTATATAAAGCATCTTCCTGTACGAATATAATGTGATAAATCCCACGAACATAACACAGTAGATGAATATATCTTGGTGCTGTACGACTGACTACTGTTAGTTCTCACTTTCTTCAACTCAGAAATCTATTCTATTATCACCCTTCTGTCCAACTATCTTCACAGATTACTTCTGGATAAGATAATATTATATTGCTTGCATTATAAGATAATATTTCAGTGCTTGCTTACGAGTTGATTTGGTTTAAAATTTTGGAAGACACTTTTTCCCTCTCTTAGTATCTCCCATCAAAGCTGTAGGAAAGGGGGAAAAGAAGATAGGTGTGCATATAAGTTCACAGGTAAAAAGAGAGGGGTGGGAGGGGGGACATTGTTTGAATTTTCAAAAATACTGTTTACTTAAATTGTGTCTGTAGCAAGATTTGCTAGGACAGGGTGTCCAGGGATTGGCTACACCTTCCTAAATTGGCATAATAGCATATGTTGGAATATGCATAAATAAGGTCTAACAACCTTAGTTACTAGCCAGCCACTCATGTGTAATTACATGTATCTACACCCTAATGCATTCAAATTACATCTTGGTATTTATTACCCTGTTTATGTAATTGGGTAAAAAAATGGGCAGTTTGTAATCAATGTTTGCTAACAAGTTAAATAGGTACCCGGGAGTTAGGTAACTGTTGTACAAAATACAAAAATACAAATAAAAATATTTATTCAGGTAAAGTACATACATACAAGGTGAAATACAAAAGTTGATGGATTCAACTGGAGTTGATGGATTGATAGTGATGATGATGTGGGTTGCATCCTGGGGGAGGGTCTGTCGTAGTTGGCCGAGGAGAACCTTGATAAGCCTAAGTACAGGTTTCTTGTCCCTGACAATGAAAATGGGAAAAATATTATACAACATGCCAGTAATAAATTAATAAAAATGTTCTGCTGCATTTGCATATTTGTGTTATTTGGTCATTTTTGTTGTCAGGTATGGTGATCCTAATGTTTGTTGGCTGCCCTCCAGAGGATTTTATAGGCCTAGTGGAAGATGAAAGGTGAGTGTACTTACTTCTAATTTTAAATTACATTCCAGATTAGATGGATATTTCTGTAATACTGCACATATTAGTTTGAATATATAGTACAGTAATGTGAGATGACGATATTAGATGAACATACAGCTAGCTCTTGATCTGTACTCTGTTACTGAAATTTAAATACTTTATTCATATATGTTTGTATATTTATAGTTGGGTTAGTTTACACACGTTTTCAGTATCACTTGTAGACTAGTGTAGCGGCTGTGCACCTGAACGTGTGAATGCACTTAAAAGAAAGTAATATGTTAAAAAGCGTAATTCATATGCTGTCTTTACCTTCGATAATATACTGTAATTATCTTTTGTACTTTGTGATATTACAGTAATAGATATATATATGTGGTTACTGTACATATGAAGAGTTGCCTAAGTGTATTTACCCGAGTAGTTATGGGATGTTCCGTCTTCTCAATAATCTTCGTCATGTAACACTTTGAAACTAATGGTTTTGGCATACACCACTCTCTCACTTAAATTGTTCCAGTCATTCACAACTCTTCACAAAAAAAACTTTTTGGATATTTTCTCACTTTTGTTTTCTTAATGGCCTTATGTTATTGAAGTTGTTGGTTTTCAAAATTCCTCCTTGCCAGCTTTGTCAATTCTTCAGTTTTATATGTGGTGATCATATCGCCTCATTTTCTTCTATCTTCTTGCTTTGGCATGTTTAATGCTTCAAGTCTCTCCTTGTAGCTCTTGTTTTTTTTTGGGCCAGGAAGCCATTTGTTAGCATGTATGTACCTTTTCTATTTTCTTGATGTGCTTTTTGTGATATGGGCATCATACAACTGCTTCATACTCCAGTTATGGTCTCGCAAATATCATGAACGATGTCTTTAGTATTTCCCCATGCATGCATTTAAAAGCATTTCTAAAGTTTATGAACAGTGTTGGCGTAGGCCTTGGTACTATTGCTAATAATGTACTCACCTAATTGTGTCTTGCGGGGGTTGAGCTCTGGCTCTTTGGTCCCGCCTCTCAACCGTCAATCAACAGGTGTACAGGTTCCTGAGCCTATTGGGCTCTATCATATCTACACTTGAAGCTGTGTATGGAGTCAGCCTCCACCACATCACTTCCTAATGCATTCCATTTGTCTACTACTCTGACACTGAAAAAATTCTTTCTAACGTCTCTATGGCTCATTTGGGCACTCAATTTCCACCTGTGTCCCCTAGTGCGTGTGCCCCTTGTGTTAAAAAGTCTGTCTTTATCTACCCTATCAATTCCTCTGAGAATCTTGTATGTGGTGATCATGTCCCCTCTAACTCTTCTGTCTCCCAGTGACGTGAGGTTTAATTCCCGTAGTCTCTCCTCGTAGCTCATACCCCTCAGTTCTGGTACTAGTCTGGTGGCAAACCTTTGAACCTTTTCCAGTTTAGTCTTATGCTTGACTAGATATGGACTCCATGCTGGAGCCGCATACTCCAGGATTGGTCTGACATATGTGGTATATAATGTTCTGAAAGATTCCTTACACAAGTTTCTAAAGGCCGTTCTTATGTTAGCCAACCTGGCATATGCCGCTGATGTTATCCTCCTGATATGAGCTTCAGGGGACAGGTCTGGCGTGATATCAACCCCCAGGTCTTTCTCTCTCTCTGACTCTTGCAGGATTTCATCTCCCAAATGATACCTTGTATCTGGTCTCCTGCTCCCTACACCTATCTTCATTACATTACATTTGCTTGGGTTAAACTCTAACAACCATTTGTTCGACCATTCCTGCAGCTTGTCCAGGTCTTCTTGAAGCCTCAAGCTGTCCTCCTCTGTCTTAATCCTTCTCATAATTTTGGCGTCGTCAGCAAACATTGAGAGGAATGAGTCTATACCCTCTGGGAGATCATTTACGTATATCAGAAACAGGATAGGTCCGAGTACAGAGCCCTGTGGGACTCCACTGGTGACTTCACGCCAATCTGAGGTCTCACCCCTCACTGTAACTCTCTGCTTCCTATTGCTTAGGTACTCCCTTATCCACTGGAGCACCCTACCAGTTACTCCTGCCTGTTTCTCCAGCTTATGCATCAGCCTTTTATGGGGTACTGTGTCAAAGGCTTTCCGACAGTCCAAAAAAATGCAGTCCGCCCATCCTTCTCTTTCTTGCTTAATCTTTGTCACCTGATCGTAGAATTCTATTAAGCCTGTAAGGCAAGATTTACCCTCCCTGAACCCATGTTGATGGGTTGTCACGAAGTCCCTTCTCTCCAGATGTGTTACTAGGTTTTTTCTCACGATCTTCTCCATCACCTTGCATGGTATACAAGTTAAGGACACTGGCCTGTAGTTCAGTGCCTCTTGTCTGTCACCCTTTTTGTATATTGGGACTACATTAGCCGTCTTCCATATTTCTGGTAGGTCTCCCGTTTCCAGTGACCTACTATACACTATGGAGAGTGGCAAACAAAGTGCTCCTGCACACTCTTTCAATACCCATGGTGAGATTCCGTCCGGCCCAACAGCCTTTCTCACGTCCAGCTCCAATAGGTGCCTCTTGACCTCATCTTTTGTAATTTCGAACCCTTCCAAGGTCGCCTGGTTTGCTGCCACCTCTCCTAGCGCCGTGACCTCTCCTTGTTCTATTGTAAAGACCTCCTGGAACCTTTTGTTGAGTTCTTCACACACCTCTTTGTCATTCTCTGTGTACCTGTCCTCACCCGTTCTAAGTTTCATCACCTGTTCCTTCACTGTTGTTTTCCTCCTGATGTGACTGTGTAGTAGCTTTGGTTCGGTCTTGGCTTTATTAGCTATATCATTTTCATACCTTTTCTCAGCTGCTCTTCTCACACTAACATACTCGTTCCTGGTTCTCTGGTATCTCTCTCTACTTTCTGGTGTTCTGTTATTACGGAAGTTCCTCCACGCCCTTTTGTTCAGCTCCTTTGCTTTCATACATTCCCTATTAAACCACGGATTCTTCTTTTGCTTCTCGGTTTTTTCCTGTCGGGCTGGGATAAACCTGTTTACTGCCTCTTGACACTTTTGGGTGACATAGTCCATCATGTCTTGTACGGACTTAGTTCTGAGTTCTGTGTCCCGTGGTATATCCCTTAGGAATTTATTCATCTCCTCATAGTTTCCCTTTCGGTACGCCAGCCCTTTGTTTCCCAGTTCTTTTTTGGGGGAGATAATTCCTAGTTCAAACAGGTACTCAAAGCTCAATACACTATGATCACTCATTCCCAAGGGGGCTTCCAACTTAACTTCCCTTATATCCGACTCATTTAGGGTAAATATCAGATCAAGCAAAGCTGGTTCATCCTCTCCTCTCATTCTTGTCGGTCCCTTGACGTGTTGACTTAGGTTTCTTGTTGCCACGTCCTGCAGCTTAGCTCTCCATGTGTCTGGTCCTCCATGTGGGTCTGTTCTCCCAATCTATCTTCCCGTGGTTGAAATATCCCATGATTAGTAGTCTGGATCCGTTCCTGCTAGCCACAGAAGCTGCTCTCTCTATTATATTTATGGTGGCCATGTTGTTTCTATCATATTCCTGTCTGGGTCTTCTGTCATTTGGTGTGGGGTTATATATGGCTACTACTATAATTTTCTGTCCTCCAGTTGTTATGGTGCCTGATACGTAGTCACTGAAACCTTCACAGCTCTGATTAACCATCTCTTCAAAACTCCAACCTTTTCTTATCAGCAAAGCTACACCACCTCCTCCTCTCCCTTCTCTCTCTTTCCTCACTACATAGTAGTCCTGTGGAAACACTGCATTTGTTATGGTTTTCGTTAGCTTTGTTTCTGTGAATGCTATTATGTCTGGATTTTCTTCCAGTGCCCATTCTCCGAGTTAACTTGTTTTATTTGTAATCCCATCTATGTTAGTGTACATTGCCTTGAAGCTCACTTTCTTCTGTTCGTTTTCTTGCCCCCATTCTTGGTGAGTATTCTGCTGGTGGGGAAAGCTATTCCCTGGGTGTGAAGATCTGTGAGGTGGTTTGCAGGGTCTCGGAGGATTTTGGGGTGGGGGGTGGGGGTTCAAGGGAAGGGGAGACAGGTAGGGTATGGGGTAAGGAGATAGGGGGGACATGGAGGATACTGGGTGAGAGGGGGGAGGAGGGATAGGGAGGGGGACAGGGGGGGAAGGCAGGAGGGGAGACAACATGGTGGGAATAGGGGAGGGATGACAGGGTCGGAGTGTGTAATTACCTAAGTGTAGTTACAGGATGAGAGCTACGCTCGTGGTGTCCCGTCTTCCCAGCACTCTGTCATATAATGCTTTGAAATTACTGACGGTTTTGGCCTCCACCACCTTCTCACTTAACGTGTTCCAACCGTCTACCACTCTGTTTACAAAAGTGAATTTTCGTATATTTCTCCAGCAGTTTTGTTTCGTTAGTTTAAATCTATGACCTCTTGTTCTTGAAGTTCCGGGTCTCGGGAATTCTTCCCTATCAATTTTATCGATTCCTGTTACTATTTTGAACGTAGTGATCATATCGCCTCTTTTTCTTCTATCTTCTAGTTTTTGCATATTTAATGCCTTTAACCTCTCCTCGTAGCTCTTGTCCTTCAGTTCTGGGAGCCACTTAGTGGCATGTCGTTGCACCTTTTCCAGTTTGGTGATGTGCTTCTTAAGATATGGGCACCATACAACCGCTGTACATTCCAGCTTTGGTCTAATAAAAGTTGTGAACAATTTCTTTAGTATTTCTCCATCCATGTATTTAAAAGCAATTCTGAGGTTAGACAGTGTAGCATAGGCTCCCCGCACAATGTTCTTAATGTCGTCCTCAGGTGACAGTTTTCTATCTAGAACCACCCCTAGATCCCTTTCTTTGTCAGAATTCTTTAAAGATTTCTCACATAATTTATAGGTTGTGTGGGGTCTATGTTCTCCAATTCCACATTCCATAACATAGCATTTATTCACATTAAATTCCATTTGCCAAGTGTTGCTCCATATACTTATTTTGTCCAGGTCTTCTTGAAGGGCATGATAATCATCTAGGTTTCTTATCTTCCCTATTATCTTAGCATCATCAGCAAACATGTTCATGTAATTCTGTATTCCCACTGGTAGATCGTTTATGTAGACAATGAACATTACCGGTGCAAGAACTGAACCCTGTGGTACTCCACTCGTGACATGTTAGTACCTGTAGCTTACCTGTCACCCCTCCAATATGTTCCAGTTTCCAGAACAATCTATTATGGGGAACTCTGTCGAAAGCCCTTTTTAGGACCAGATAGATGCAGTCAACCCAACCATCTCTTTCCTGTAAAATCTCTGTGACTCGATCATAAAAACTGAGTAAGTTCGTTACACAGGATCTTCCAGATTGAAAACCATACTGTCTGTCTGATATTATATCGTTTTCCTCCAGGTGTTCTACCCATTTAGTTTTAATTATTATGTCCAATATTTTTACTATTACACTTGTCAATGATACAGGTCTATAATTAAGGGGGTCTTCCCTGCTTTCATTTTTGTAGATTGGAACTATGTTAGCCTTTTTCCACACATCAGCTACAACTCCTGTACACAGGGATGCCTGAAAAAATCAGTTGAAGTGGAATGGTGAGCTCAGGTGCACATTCTCTTAGAACCCATGGTGAAACTCCATCTGGACCAACTGCTTTGTTCTTACTTTGCTCCTTGAGCATTTTGTCCACTTCGTCTCTAGACACCTCTATGTGCTCTATGTTGTTCTCTGGAATCTTATTGTGTCTGGTTCCCTAAAAATTTCATTTTGTACAAACACACTTTGGAACTTTTCGTTTAGTGTTTCACACATTTCCTTTTCATTTTCCGTGAATCTATTTCCCATTTTCAACCTCTGAATAATATCCTTTACCTGCAATTTGTTGTTTATGAATTTATAGAATAGACCTGGTTCTGTTTTACATTTGTCTGCCATCCCTTTTTCAAAAATTTTTTCTGCCTCTCTCCTCACTGCTGTGTAGTTGTTTCTCGCATCTTTGTATCGCCGGTATGTTTGGGGGTTTGGCCTCTTCCTGTATTGATTCCACTTTTGTGTCTTTTGGTCTCTGGCCCTCTCGCAATTTCTATTGAACCAATCCTGTTTCCTAGTTCTGCATCTCTGTTTTGGTATAAATTTTTTTGTGCCTTTATCATATATTTCACAAAACTTGACATACATCTCATTCACTTCCTTGCCTAGCAACAAGTCTGTCCAATTATACTCACTAAAAAAATAATGTGTGTGTGTGTAAGCCTACAGAAACACTAATTCTGCGCCTTGTAATCTGCAGTGGGAAGCACTTCACTCCGGTGTGCAACAGGACGTGTGGAGATTGTGACGCCACAACCTTTGCACCTGTGTGTGACCTACAGGGAAAGACATACTTTTCCTCCTGTCATCTGGGCTGTTCTAATGCCACTCTTTTTAAGGAGTCAAATCAACTAGTGGTAGGAAGTTACCCCATTTTTGTTTGTATAAGTGATGGTGAATGGATGATTATAATGAATAACCCATCCCAGATATATGAAATGTTATTTTTATATAATTTTTATATACATTTTATATACAGTATATATATACATTTTCTTCTGTTCTCGATGGACAGGGTTAGAGATCCGTTGAACATATAGTTCAGTGATTTATTGAATAATCAACCACAAAAAGTGATTGTAGTTCAATGAAAGTGATGATGTTTCAGTCCATCCTGGACCCTTATTAAGACGTAACATAATGTGCAACAGAACATACAAAATGTTATTTCATATCTTATTTGGGGATTGGGTCATTTGTTGCAGCCATGTTTTTGTGACTTATTCTCTACAGATGATGATAATATTTGACACATTACACATCTTCAATCTTGCATATTAAATAAACATCAGTAATAATGATTGTACTGTACTTTTGTAATTAATCTGTTTTCTTTCAGTTCTCCAACTGTGACTGTTTACCAGAGGGGGAGACTGCAGTGTTGAGACTGTGTGGAATGAAATGTAATAATTTTGTCTGGTGAGTTACAAGTATTGTGCATGAAGTCTTCTTTTGTTGTCTGTTTTGCTTTTCAGAAGTGATAGTGATTTAAGAATAAATATTTTCATTAGGAAGCACGGCAAAAAACGTGACGATCCATAATTGGCAAGTTCCGTTTAAATCCACCTCCCCGCCTCTCAATTTATTCTTGAAACCTGTTAAACTGTTTGTATCAATAAAGCTAGCTGGTGGCCCATTCTTCTCATCCATTACCCAAACTGGCACTTTCCTTTATGCCACTCAAAACAAGATTTCTCCATCTTCTAACCATTGTTACAAGGTTTGACATATTCTTATAGTAGTTTCAAAACAATTTTCATATCCTCCTTGTTTATGCCCCTCATCCTGTATTTCTCCAGCAAATGCAGATTGAAACTTTCAATCTGTAGGAAAGCTCCCCAATGCCAGATATCAGGCTTGTTACCCTTCTCTGTATTTTCTCAAGGGACACTATATATGTCCACTCTGTAGTATGGTAACCCATGCTAGATATAGCTCAAGGGTAAGTATATTTACGTTGCTGATGCATTGGATCTGAAAACTGCATGTAAATGATAACAAGAGACATTCGGCTCAACACTCATAAGTGGTACTTATTTTGTTAAAGAGTACAATAGAGAACATTGTAATGGTCCCATGGGCCCCGTGAAAGTCTTCCATGGTCCTCCAGTTGGCAACCATTGATCTACATAAAACTATTTTTACTACACAAACACAACCAACCTGTTTACTTGTTTACATTAAATCCAGGATCACCTATACAATATAGCCTCATATTTCAGTCATAATCTTGTTTGTCTTTTTCTCATGTTGAGTACTGTATACTGTAGTTAATTGTATACATCAACAGTTCTGAATTAAACAATAGGTTATACACACTAACAATTGTGTGTGTATGTAAATCACGAAGAAATTAACACGTGATGAATAATGTGAAAATATTTAACCACAAAAGAAAAAGAAAACCAGAATTGACTTGAGTGCTTTCGTGTTAATCAACACATAATTTTCATAATGTGTTGATTAACACGAAAGCACTCAAGTCAATTCTGATTTCATATTTCCTTTGTGGTTAGTTTTACCAACAATTATGAATTAAGTGGTTGGCTCTACACATCAACAGTTGTTAATGAATTTCCTTGGACTTGATGACCAAAGATTCAGTGCCTTGGACTTGAATCTCTAAATTGTTTATATTTTGTATTTTACCATGGGGTGGCCCTCAGAAATGCTTTCACCAAAATTACTTTTCCTTTGTCCTTTCTCACAGGTATGTGGGAACATGAAATTAAGCAGATGAGAGAAAGTATATATATATATATATATATATATATATATATATATATATATATGTGTGTATATCACGAAAATAAACACGTGATTAAGAATGTGACAATGTCAGACCACGGAGGAAAAATGAAGCAGGAAATTTCCTTAAGTACTTTCGTATATTAAATACATCTTCAGAAGGTTAAATACATCTTCACCTTCTGAAGATGTATTTAATATACGAAAGTACTTAAGGAAATTTCCTGCTTCATTTTTCCTCCGTGGTCTGACATTGTCATATATATATATATATATATATATATATATATATATATATATATATATATATATATATATATAGTATATTTTTGGCCTATATTCAAGGCCCGATTTGCCTATATAAGTTTTCCTGATAATATATTTTTTCTAATTTTTTTTATGAAATGATAAAGCACCCATTTCATTATGTTTGAGGTCAATTTTTTTTTATCGGAGTTTTAACCAGTAGACCGATATATAACCTAACCTAACCTAATAGGTATGACCGAAAAAGTAAGATTAGGTTATAGGTATTCTAAAAAACACATGAATTTTCGGGCCTTGCATAGTAGGCTTGCGTTCGTACATTACGACTTCACTGTTGTATATTTTGGTAGCAGTAACATCAAAAATAAGATTAATAATTCTAACACGAATTTTCTCCAACATTACGCTTCATTTTAAATCAAAAATCAATTCTCCAAAATTCATTTTATTTCTAGTCTGACGCGACACGGGCGCGTTTCGTAAAACTTATTACATTTTCAAAGACTTTAGTTCACAAATACACAACTGAATAGAACTTACGTATCTCCGATTTTATATCTACATTTGAGTGAGGTGGAAGGGGTGATGTGGCATTAACACAAGACAGAACAAAATGTGGTATTAATAGGGTATTAATTTCATCAACACAAGACAGAACAAGGGTATTAATAGGGTATTAATTTCATCAACACAAGACAGAACACGAAACAATGGATATTGAATAGAAGTGTTTGTAGAAAGCCTATTGGTCCATATTTCTTGATGCTTCTATATTGGAGCGGAGTCTTGAGGTGGGTAGAATATAGTTGTGCAATAATTGGCTGTTGATTGCTGGTGTTGACTTCTTGATGTGTAGTGCCTTGCAAACGTCAAGACGCCTGCTATCGCTGTATCTATCGATGATTTCTGTGTTGTTTACTAGGATTTCTCTGGCGATGGTTTGGTTGTGGGAAGAGATTATATGTTCCTTAATGGAGCCCTGTTGCTTATGCATCGTTAAACGCCTAGAAAGAGATGTTGTTGTCTTGCCTATATACTGGGTTTTTTGGAGCTTACAGTCCCCAAGTGGGCATTTGAAGGCATAGACGACGTTAGTCTCTTTTAAAGCGTTCTGTTTTGTGTCTGGAGAGTTTCTCATGAGTAGGCTGGCCGTTTTTCTGGTTTTATAGTAAATCGTCAGTTGTATCCTCTGATTTTTGTCTGTAGGGATAACGTTTCTATTAACAATATCTTTCAGGACCCTTTCCTCCGTTTTATGAGCTGTGGAAAAGAAGTTCCTGTAAAATAGTCTAATAGGGGGTATAGGTGTTGTGTTAGTTGTCTCTTCAGAGGTTGCATGGCTTTTCACTTTCCTTCTTATGATGTCTTCGACGAAACCATTGGAGAAGCCGTTATTGACTAGGACCTGCCTTACCCTACAGAGTTCTTCGTCGACTTGCTTCCATTCTGAGCTGTGGCTGAGAGCACGGTCGACATATGCGTTAACAACACTCCTCTTGTACCTGTCTGGGCAGTCGCTGTTGGCATTTAGGCACATTCCTATGTTTGTTTCCTTAGTGTAGACTGCAGTGTGGAAACCTCCGCCCTTTTCCATGACTGTTACATCTAGAAAGGGCAGCTTCCCATCCTTTTCCATCTCGTAAGTGAAACGCAGCACGGAACTCTGCTCAAATGCCTCCTTCAGCTCCTGCAGATGTCTGACATCAGGTACCTGTGTAAAAATGTCGTCAACATACCTGCAGTATATGGCCGGTTTCAAGTTCATGTCGACTAAGACTTTTTGCTCGATGGTACCCATGTAGAAGTTTGCAAACAGGACACCTAGGGGAGAACCCATGGCGACCCCATCTACTTGCTTATACATGTGCCCATCCGGGCTCAAGAAGGGTGCCTCTTTAGTACAAGCTTGGAGTAGTTTCCTCAGAATATTTTCTGGTATGTCAAGAGGAGTACAGGCTGGATCACGATACACTCTCTCGGCTATCATTCCGATTGTCTCGTTCACAGGTACGTTGGTGAACAGCGATTCTACATCCAACGAGGCTCTTATCCCTGTGGCCCGTGTGCCCCGCAGTAAGTCAACAAATTCCTTTGGAGACTTCAGGCTGAAGGCGCAAGGAACATAAGGAGTCAGCAGGCCGTTGAGTCGCTTCGCCAGTCTGTACGTGGGTGTGGGTATCTGGCTAATGATTGGCCGAAGTGGGTTTCCAGGCTTGTGCGTCTTGACATTTCCATACGCATATCCAGGTTTATATTCCCCAATGGTCTTTGGCAGGTGGAGTCCGGATTTCTTGGCGTTCACAGTTTCGATCAGTTTGTTGACCTTTGCTTTTAATTCGACTGTAGTGTCCTTCGTTACCCTTTGGAACTTAGTTTGGTCAGAGAGTATGATGTTCATTTTCGCCAGATATTCGTCTTTTTTAAGAATGACATATATTGGCGACTTGTCACCTCTCCTGACAACTATCTCCTTGTTCTCACGAAGGCTTTTAGCTGCCGCTTTAAGCTCGGGGGACAGTATGGTGCTTCTGTAGTTGCCTCGATTCTTTCCTCCTTCTGCAATAAGTTCTGCTTGTAAGAAAGAATCGAGGCAACTACAGAAGCACCATACTGTCCCCCGAGCTTAAAGCGGCAGCTAAAAGCCTTCGTGAGAACAAGGAGATAGTTGTCAGGAGAGGTGACAAGTCGCCAATATATGTCATTCTTAAAAAAGACGAATATCTGGCGAAAATGAACATCATACTCTCTGACCAAACTAAGTTCCAAAGGGTAACGAAGGACACTACAGCCGAATTAAAAGCAAAGGTCAACAAACTGATCGAAACTGTGAACGCCAAGAAATCCGGACTCCACCTGCCAAAGATCATTGGGGAATATAAACCTGGATATGCGTATGGAAATGTCAAGACGCACAAGCCTGGAAACCCACTTCGGCCAATCATTAGCCAGATACCCACACCCACGTACAGACTGGCGAAGCGACTCAACGGCCTGCTGACTCCTTATGTTCCTTGCGCCTTCAGCCTGAAGTCTCCAAAGGAATTTGTTGACTTACTGCGGGGCACACGGGCCACAGGGATAAGAGCCTCGTTGGACGTAGAATCGCTGTTCACCAACGTACCTGTGGACGAGACAATCGGAATGATAGCCGACAGAGTGTATCGTGATCCAGCCTGTACTCCTCTTGACATACCAGAAAATATTCTGAGGAAACTACTCCAAGCTTGTACTAAAGAGGCACCCTTCTTGAGCCCGGATGGGCACATGTATAAGCAAGTAGATGGGGTCGCCATGGGTTCTCCCCTAGGTGTCCTGTTTGCAAACTTCTACATGGGTACCATCGAGCAAAAAGTCTTAGTCGACATGAACTTGAAACCGGCCATATACTGCAGGTATGTTGACGACATTTTTACACAGGTACCTGATGTCAGACATCTGCAGGAGCTGAAGGAGGCATTTGAGCAGAGTTCCGTGCTGCGTTTCACTTACGAGATGGAAAAGGATGGGAAGCTGCCCTTTCTAGATGTAACAGTCATGGAAAAGGGCGGAGGTTTCCACACTGCAGTCTACACTAAGGAAACAAACATAGGAATGTGCCTAAATGCCAACAGCGACTGCCCAGACAGGTACAAGAGGAGTGTTGTTAACGCATATGTCGACCGTGCTCTCAGCCACAGCTCAGAATGGAAGCAAGTCGACGAAGAACTCTGTAGGGTAAGGCAGGTCCTAGTCAATAACGGCTTCTCCAATGGTTTCGTCGAAGACATCATAAGAAGGAAAGTGAAAAGCCATGCAACCTCTGAAGAGACAACTAACACAACACCTATACCCCCTATTAGACTATTTTACAGGAACTTCTTTTCCACAGCTCATAAAACGGAGGAAAGGGTCCTGAAAGATATTGTTAATAGAAACGTTATCCCTACAGACAAAAATCAGAGGATACAACTGACGATTTACTATAAAACCAGAAAAACGGCCAGCCTACTCATGAGAAACTCTCCAGACACAAAACAGAACGCTTTAAAAGAGACTAACGTCGTCTATGCCTTCAAATGCCCACTTGGGGGCTGTAAGCTCCAAAAAAACCAGTATATAGGCAAGACAACAACATCTCTTTCTAGGCGTTTAACGATGCATAAGCAACAGGGCTCCATTAAGGAACATATAATCTCTTCCCACAACCAAACCATCGCCAGAGAAATCCTAGTAAACAACACAGAAATCATCGATAGATACAGCGATAGCAGGCGGCTTGACGTTTGCGAGGCACTACACATCAAGAAGTCAACACTAGCAATCAACAGCCAATTATTGCACAACTATATTCTACCCACCTCAAGACTCCGCTCCAATATAGAAGCATCAAGAAATATGGACCAATAGGCTTTCTACAAACACTTCTATTCAATATCCATTGTTTCGTGTTCTGTCTTGTGTTGATGAAATTAATACCCTTGTTCTGTCTTGATGAAATTAATACCCTATTAATACCACATTTTGTTCTGTCTTGTGTTAATGCCACATCACCCCTTCCACCTCACTCAAATGTAGATATAAAATCGGAGATACGTAAGTTCTATTCAGTTGTGTATTTGTGAACTAAAGTCTTTGAAAATGTAATAAGTTTTACGAAACGCGCCCGTGTCGCGTCAGACTAGAAATAAAAATGAATTTTGGAGAATTGATTTTTGATTTACCTCCAACAGTGAAGCGTAATGTACGAAAGATTGAGAAAATTCGTGTTAGAATTATTAATCTTACTTTTTCGGTCATATTTAATAATATATATATATATATATATATATATATATATATATATATATATATATATATATATATATATATATATATATATATATATATTTTTTTTTTTTTTTTTTTTGTTAGAAAGCACACCAGTCAAGTGGGGAAAAAGTAAGTGTCAGATAATATTGATAAAGGTTTTAGAAAATGAGGGTGAATGGCATTATTGGTTCGCACAGTTCTATCTTTATAACACTTCTGCAGGTACGTGATCATCTTCTCTGTGTTTGTGTTGATACATTCCACGTCGGAGGTGGGTGGCATGCTGGTCACGCTACGCTGTGTAGACCCTAAGGACAAGGCCATGGCACTTGGCCTCATCTCTGTTGCTATTGGTTTATTAAGTAAGTTTTTCTTTCTATTATCATTTGATAAGGATTCTTAAGAGTAATTACACTCATTGAATATGAGAGTATAGTTCATGTTATGATAAAAACCCATAACTGTTGCGAGTGGTAGTGGACACCATTCTCATGCTGTGAGTGGTAGTGGACACCATACTTATTCCATGAATGGTAGTGGACACCATACTTATTCCATGAATGGTAGTGGATACCATACTTATTCCATGAATGGTAGTGGACACCATACTTATTCCATGAATGGTAGTGGACATCATACTTATTCCATGAGTGGTGGTGGACACCATACTCATGCTGTGAGTGGTGGTGTACACCATACTCATACTGTGAGTGGTGGTGGACACCATACTCATGCTGTGAGTGGTGGTGTACACCATACTCATGCTGTGAGTGGTGGTGGACACCATACTCATGCTGTGAGTGGTGGTGGACACCATACTCATGCTGTGAGTGGTGGTGGACACCATACTCATGCACCATACTCATGTGAGTGGTGGTGGACACCATACTCATGCTGTGACACCATACTCATGCTGTGAGTGGTGGTGTACACCATACTCATGCTGTGAGTGGTGGTGGACACCATACTCATGCTGTGAGTGGTGGTGTACACCATACTCATGCTGTGAGTGGTGGTGGACACCATACTCATGCTGTGAGTAACATTGTGTACATCGCAGTGTGATTTCATTGTTCATTATATGTACAGGTATGGTAAATATAATAATTTGAGAGGAATACTTATAGGTATTGTGTATGGGAATACGTGTATGGGAAGACCAACGAGAAGTAAATAAATTACAGTATATTAGATGGGTAGAATAGTAACTGGATTAGCTCTGCTTGCCTTGGAAATTTTAGGATATCTGCAAAATGTAACAATACTGTATTAATCAAATAATTTTTATCTTTACTAAAACTGGTAATCTTGGTGGCTTCATTGTGTGGGTTGGGTGGTATTATTTCAGAGATTTTAATGAATGTACACATGCACACAAAAATGATTAACAAAGTGTTTCAGAATAAAATATTTTATTAAAAAAAATCACTGACCAATATCATGTTTACTGCTTTTTATATGTTTATTAGAAATTATTAACTTAAGTAAATTGAAAACTATGTTCTTATAATTAGCATTCCACAAAAAAGAAAGACAATATTTGTATGGTTTTAATATTGATATTTTGCAGGCAATGTTCCGTGTCCAATAATATACGGTGCTGTGGTTGACTCTGCGTGCATCCATTGGAAGGAAACTTGTAGAATAGCAGGTGCTTGTCAGCTCTATGATTCTGATGCTTTCAGAATGTTCTTCCATGGTGAGTGTATATATATATATATACTGTATATGTATATGTGTGTGTGTGTGTGTAATTACCTAAGTGTAGTTACAGGATGAGAGCTATGCTCGTGGTGTCCCATCTTCCCAGCACTCTTTGTCATATAACGTTTTGAAACTACTGACGGTCTTGGCCTCCACCACCTTCTCACTTAACTTGTTCCAACCGTCTACCACGCTGTTTGTGAAAGTGAATTTTCTTATATTTCTTCGGCATCTGTGTTTAGGTAGTTTATATCTATGACCTCTTGTTCTTGAGGTTCCAGGTCTCAGGAAATCTTCCCTGTGTATGTAATATATATTATATATATAATATATAATATGTGTGTATACTGGCAGCAGGTTTTCATTTATACATGCTTCATTGAATATGACTGCATATTCTCTATTGATTATTTTCTTGTTTAGGGCTTCTATACCTCTGGCTAGTGCTCTTTCATCTAGCATTTCTCCAAGTGTCATCTTTGTACAAGGTGAAAAAACCCTGTGGAATGAATAATAATTATTTTAAATTTACACAACATTTCAAACCTACATGGTTCATTCACAAGTGAAGTGACAGTGCTGGGCATATTGGATTTATACCACTAGTGAGGTCAGGTACATAATACAAATAGGTAAGGGGTACATTGTAAAGGAAGAATAGTGCATAAATGGGGAAGGATAGAGGATGTAAATAGAGATGAAGCACATACAAAGATTAATCAGGTGTAGTGGGCGTGGCATGTTGAGCAGTGTCGTCTATGTTGGTATCTTCATGTTCCAGTCTTGATCTTACTCTCATGGTGGGTAGAAATATATATACTGTACAGTATAACCATCTTTACTACTCACTATCTTCATCACTGTAACCATCTCCCCTACTCACTATTTTTATCACTGTAACCTGAATGAATTCAAGGGGTGTTTATAATTGCTGATATTTCTTAAAACATTAAGAAAGGTCTTTTAGGTCAGCCTAAACTGACCAGCATTTAGGCTGGTCAAGGTACGCCCAAGTCCATTCCTTCTGCCTAGATTTCTGTCTAGTTTCCTGACCAGCCTTTTTATTCTCTAGACACTTCTAGATGCCTGTACTCTAATTTCATTCGAAAGTCAATATCGAGGCTGGTGTGCTGGAAATGTCATCCTGCAAGGAGAGACCTTGGAACTGTTTATTTAGTGTTTTTGTGCATTTCCTTTTCGGTTTCTGTAACTCTGTCTCCCATTCTGTAATCTTTGTATTTTGTCTTTTGCCTGCCATTTGTTTTTATGAATTTATAGAATAGGCCAGAATCTCTTACATGTGTGCTATTAACTTCTCAGTCTCTGTCTCTTCTCACATCCCAGTACTATAAACATCCCAGTACTACAAACATATCAGTACTATAAACATCCCAGTATTATATATACATATCCCAGTACTATAAATGTCCTAGTACAGTACTATAAACATCTCAGTACTGTAAACATCCCAGTACTATAAACATCCCAGTACTATAAACATCCCAGTACTATAAACATCCCAGTACTACAAACATATCAGTACTATAAACATCCCAGTACTATATATACATACCCCAGTACTATAAACATCTCAGTACTGTAAACATCCCAGTACTGTAAACATCCCAGTACTGTAAACATCTCAGTACTGTAAACATTCCAGTACTAGAAACAAGTTGTTTTTTGAACAAATCCAATGAACAATGTAAAGTTGTTTCTTGTTAATAGTACAGTAGTGTGATGTTTGTGGGTTTGGCCTTTTCCTATATTGATTCCATTCATTTTTTTTAACCCCCTGGCTTCCCTTATAATCTCTATTAAATCAGTCCTGTTTTCTATTTCCGTATTTAACAGCGTCCAAGACTAAAGTAAAAAGTTCGGGACTAAAGCAAAAAGTGTGTACTGTATATGCACTGAGAAACAAGGTATATAAAGCTTTGTATATTAGTGTCTTTATTTAATATGCAACCCCCCTTCTGTACCCCTCAGATTAACTTTATAATATGTCCTTGTGTATATTTTGAATAAAAATTATTGCTATTACTGTATTATACAGTAATTATAAAATTAAACTTAAATTTAAAAATAGTTTTTGGGCCTTGTACAATTATTACTATTGGGTGAATGACAATGCAGTACTTACAAAATCAATATAGTATTTTATTCATTTCTTTTATCAGTCAATATATTTTATTACTGTAATTTCATTTATCAGTCATCTTGAGACTTGAGAACATGCATATATAAATATTAAAAATACATACTATCCATTACTGAAAAAAACCGGCAATTATTGGCTTTATATAATATACAACTACTGTACTGTACATTATAGTTGTACACTATTTACTACGTAACCACTGTAACATGATCCCTATTATTATAGTAGTGAATAATGTAGTAAGATTTTGACCACTGTACTATCTTCATAATTCAGTATTTATTGTAAGACTTTAAATTAATTTTTTTCAGGCATGACAGGTGCTGTTATGATATTAGCATTTATGGTGGATTTAGTTGTGTGGTATATGGCAAAAGCCGTGTCCTTCACTGAAGATGAAGAGAATCCAGAAGAGGAAACTCCCATGAACCCCAAATCTCTCTCTCCATCCACATCTGTAACAGTTGACCAAACTCCAACAACATCTACACCCCAAGAAAGTATTCCTATGCTCTCTCCAAGTGAGGGAGCTCCTTCAATCAGTCAAGAAAGTCGATCAAGTATGTGAGAATAGAAATATTAGATCAAACGTGGTATGTACGTGTGTATGTAAATAATTCTCTCTCTCTCTACCAGGGTAGCCTATATCTACACCATTTTTATAAATCAACTCTGGGTCTGAAACTTCATTTAAACACTCATTCCATGCCAACACTGTGCCACAGATATCCGGGGGTTGTATTTGGGGTTTGTAACCGAGCAGGAAAAAAATTCTAAATGTTTTGGCGCTCAAATGCTGATACAGCAGTCACTACAGTTCATGTATCCATTTGACTGCTTTGATAGTAGACTAGTCTTCAGTTTATAGTTACTTGTGTATTGGCTGCTTCCAAAGCCCAGTGTTTGGTCAGGCTTGAGCAGCTTTTTCCATATACATTAACAGTTTGGTAAGTGGAGAGACTTGTCATGATCTGACATCAGCAACAACTTTGAACACAGATTTGCCTTAAATTGTACTGAGCATAATAATTATGATGCAGAGTTCATAAAACAAAACTTATCCTCGAGTGCAAATTTTAGTTGGTAAATTTATTTTATTTTAATACAGTACTGTTCTGTATTTTGAGTCAAAAAGCAATGTCTAAAGACAGTTATACTCACTTTCCAGTCACTGAGAATTTGGAGGAGTTAAGGAATCTACAGTTGATTATACTACGTGGGCTGTACTTACTATTTAGAAACTGTTAGTGTGACCAGTGCTTTCATAAATAATTAAAGATGTCTTGATAATATGTGACTTAATCAAATGCTAATAGCATGCATTGCTTATTTGTGGTATTTGTTCATCTCGAGACAGTGGTGCATCCCCAGGAAATGTATTATTTTTGTAAAACTTTATTTTTTGTAGACAACAATTTAGCATTTGCAGTTACAGGTATAAGATTTTTTATGTTACTGGAAGACAATTCCCAAGTCTACTAATGCCTTAGAATATTTTGTCTTTATATAAATTATTTATTCGGCAGTACGACCTCGCAACAACAGAAATCCACAAAACGACAACTAGCGGTAGTTTGAAATCATTGTAAATATACTGAATTTGTACAGGCTGTATAAAAACCTGAAACTATTTAACATTGCTCAAGAAGTAAAATAGAATATAAGGAATGCAGTTTAAGAATTACTAGTCTTCTGGGGGCATTCCTCTGTTCCTACATACTGTCTTTCTAACCCCTGGTCAATGTGTTGCTTCACACTAGCAAATAACACATTAGTTTAATAAACAAAATAATTTGCCACAAATTAATGTATCATGCTAACTATTCCTTTTAATTTAATTTGTATAATCTTGAAAGAAGTTCACCTGTATGTATTGTTAATGAAAGTGAATGTCTAGAATTTCGTTCTTCCGTTTTTGCGAGGTAGTACTGAATTTAATAGTTTGAAAATGATAATGTTCTGTTCCCATTTTAAAATGAGTATTCAAAAAGGTTGTGTTAAAAATAAATTGCAATTATTAATTTCTAGGATTTTAAAACTTAAATGTTAAAATATTAAAACTATATCTATATATTGTATGACAAATTATTTTATAGAAAAATAAAACATCCTTTTATAATATGCATTTGTAATATTTCTGTAGTGTGTGTTTGTGTATATGTTTAGTGGAGTGTGTGTGTACAAGATGCTTATTGTGAGAAGAAAATTCCTTGCCATGATTTGTATACAACAATTAAATGAGTTGCTTCTCATTTGGAGCATATTCCTTGTGTAGCCTATGTGCAATTTCACACACATTATTGCATCTCCCCATTTGCCAACAGACTACAGCCCTCCGAGGCTCTCTGCGCCCTCCCCTAATCCCTCCACTTTCTATTTTGTTCTTACATCTATTTGCTTTATTTTTATTTTAACTACTTAATTTTGTCAGTCAAGTCTCCTCCCCATCTCGACCTTCTCTCTGACTATGTCAGTATGTGCACTTATTTCACTCCACATACATATGCAAATTTATTTCCACTGTTTGCAGTCACCCTGTCATTCTGTTCATGTCATTCACAAGCATCAGAGAAGTGAAGTGAATGTTGTGGCACATTTCACTTCAGGTGCACTCTCGCATTCTACTGAAACCTATAACCCTCATACACAAGGAAATCACAATAACGTGATATATCTACGAGAAAATCATTGGAGGAGAGGGATTGAATCGGTATCCTCGGTAACCCCAGATGCACACCCAGCACGTCGTGGTCCATGGGTCAAGATACAAGTTGGGGTTACCCTGGATGCTGGTTCGATCCTCGTCCTGCTACAATGATTTTTTCCTCCAACTCTTGATCACGCACTTACCACTTCCCCGACTCTCGGCACGATTTTTGCTGGTATCCATTTACATTGATTCATCTTCATTGTAAATTTATACTCTGAACCTTTCCTAACCACTTGCAATACTGCTATATTTCCTTATTTCAATAACTGGATGTTGCAGACCATTATCCATTTTTGTGTTAAGTTTTCATCTATATTGTAGTCCTCTTTCTTTGCTTTGTCTTTCAAGGCTCCCAATAGTATCTCTGTTGCTCTTTAACTCTCATTATTTAATTCAGAATCATTGGTCTACATCTGTTATATTTCTAACCTGTCATCTCACTTAATATGTTGTCTTTAACATAATCAACCAGTTTGTTAAAAATGTATGGCCACAATAAGTTAGGTGGGTTGCTTTGGTTCATATGTTATTGGTTAGGTAAAACAGTGGCATTATCAGCATTGCAAATTGAGAGAACGGGCTCATTTCCCATTCTATCCTTTCCTAATCTCATTTTTCTGTTCAAACTTAACATACATTCCTCCATGCTTATACGTAGGCAAGCTGAATAACTTTATAATTGCTAAACATAAAGACATCTAATTTTTCCCTCTCCATTTTTGTTACACATTATCTTGAAGAAATATTTAAATGCTTACATTAGCTTTGCTCATTCCATATATTCTTTAGCACATTCCATAGTCTGTTCCCACCAGATGTGTTGGGCACTTTTCAGATCAATGAAAGTGGAATACATGTTTTCCCTAACATTTGTTACCTTTTAGATCTGGCTTTCAATAGCTGCAGTCAGTCAACCTATACACAAAATGTAATAAAGTGCACATTCTAACCACACAACAAAAATGGGGAAACGGCAGAAGTTGGAAGGGTGACTGCATTCACATATACAAATATGCAAGGAAGTACAGGTATGGGAATTGTCTCTCAAGAATATTTAAATGATCTCTCAAAAAGTTTATTATTGTCATTTTGAAGCTAAATACAGTTTAATATGCTGTGGCTAATTAAGCTTTTTTAAAACAAGCATCTTAAAGCCCTTCGTTTCTTCACGTAAATCTACGTGTGTAATATCTTCATGAATTATTTTTTGTTAATTTTGCCAAATTCACAGTTTTCCTTCTACTCTCTTATTTTACTATATTTTACAAATTCATCAATTTGTTCTCTCCCATTTTTTCTGATATTTTGCTCCCTCCTTCATTTTAGCTGTTGGTGACCTTGACACTCATTCTAGGGTCACATTGCATTTAAAAGGCATCTCTACCCAGGCTCCTTTTCCCTTCTCAGCAGCTGTTTTCATCAATAAATTCCTTAAAAATAGTATGTTCTTAAATTTGTTGCTGTTATTACCGCTATATACAATTTACCTCCAGTCTTTCACTCAATCTTCCACTTTATGAGGGTTGCGGTAGTACAGTTGGGTTCGTTCTCAACTCACAGTTGAGAATTCCGGGTTCAAATCCCATTCGGGACAGAAATGGTTGGGTGTATTTCCTATCACCTAATGCTCCTGTTCACCTAGAAGTAGGTACTTGGAAGTTAGTCAGCTTGTTGTGGGGTTGCATCTTGGGGAGGGGGGACCTCAATATAAATAAGCCTAACGTGTATGAATATACTCTGGCTGCCAGTCTCCTGACAACGAATTATTCTTATCTACCTTTTGCAATATGGTTTTCCAATGTATATTCTTCTTTGGCATTCTTTGGGGGGGAGGGGGACCCCCCTTGACAAGCTGACAGCTTCCTGTTCCTATTGAAGCTGCTAGAGATGGTGGCCCTTATGTAAATTTATTGTGTCTTTGCCTTGCTCATCATAACACAGCCTCCGTTCGACTTTTTCATTTGCTTTGCAGTCCCATCTTAGCCTTTTAATGTTACTCAGGTATACACGATTGTCCTTGTTCCTCACATTTCATCCATCTCATTGTCTAACTTTCCGACTGAAATTGTATCTCAATTAGCAAAATAATTTAATGAACTTCTTGTTTCTATGTATTTTAAATTTTTACTAGACTTTGTTATTCAAATTATATCGACTTGTGTACAATTTTATATATTAAGCTTATGTTGATGAACAAAATAAATATCATATATACAAAGTGTTTTCAACTTAATAGGTTGCAATGTATAACTTTTTTTGTGTGTGCAAAGGATCCTTCTTGAGGTTATCTTGAGATGATTTCGGGGATTAGCGTCCCCGCGGCCCGGTCCTCGACTAGGCCACAGGGACCTGTAGCAGCTGTCTAACTCCCAGGTACCTATTTACTGCTAGGTAACAGGGGCATCAGGATGAAAAACATTTTGCCTACTTGTCTCCGCCTTCACCGAGGATCAAACCCGGAACCTCAGGACTACGAATCCGAAGTGCTGTCTACCCAGCTGTCAGGCGCCCTTGTTCATATTTTTTTTTTAAAGACCAATTTCATATGTATAATTTCAATTAGGTTTTTGACAATAATCCTTAAAATTTCTATAACTACACTACTGAGTACTTACCTTTAATGTTATCTTGAAGTCTTCAAGCAAATTTTTATTTGAACTTTTAAGAAAACCTTGTCATCTGAAGAACCAATGTTCATATTCACACTCTTGCACAGTGGTCAACATAGCTGTGCAGGACAGACGTTTGAGCACGTTTCTTGTCACCTGATGCCTTTGTTTACCTAGCGGTAAATGAAGAGGTAGGCATCTGTTTTGGGTTGGATCCTGGGGAAGTAAGTAAGTAATTATCAAAAAGAAGACACCAAACCGGGAAGGTTATGTAGCACCATCAAATGTGCGGGATAATCAGAGGGCGCTAAATATCACCAAGGACGCCAATACGAGAACAGAAACGCATAAGACGAACGATATCAAAACTATCCGAGTCACCGAGAATACTATCGAGAGACAAGCGACTGCGGGGGACGGTCGGGAAAACAAGACATGCTCGTCCCGGAAGTCAGGACATTCAACAAGGATATGCACGACCGTAAGAGGGACAATGCAATTAGGACAATAAGGAGCAGGGCGGCGCTCCATCAAGTGACCATGAGTTAAGCGAATAAAGCTAATATGCAACCTCGCCAGAGCCGTTTCCCCATCGCCCGTTACGGTGGCAGGAGGACGGCCACAAGGACACACAACCTTTAAGAGAACGTAGTCTGTTACCAGTAACAGACGACCAACAAGCCTGCCAACGGGTAAGGATGGAGGAATGGATAACCGGGTAAAAGTCGGAATAAGGAATACCTTTACGAGAGATGGGACAAGAGCGGACAGCTTCCCTGGCGACAGCATCCGCATGCTCATTTAAAGAGACACCAATATGGCTGGGAACCCAACAAAACTCAACTGACTTAAATTTACTGTGAACAAGAAACGGCCAATGCTGGATCTCGACAACCACTGGATGAACCGGATTAAAGGACCCGAGGGCCATGAGGGCACTACGAGAGTCAACAACAACTACAAAGGAAGATTGACAACGATAGAGCAGGAGACGGAAAGCATAGAGAATAGCATAAAGCTCTGCTGTGAAGATGCTAGTCTCCGGAGGTAAGTGACACATAAGTGTGATCAGGAAAAACAACAGAGTAGCCAACACCTTCCGCAGACTTAGACCCATCACTGAAGACGGAAATGGAGTGCGAGTGAGAAGAAAAGTGCTCAAGGAAAAGGCGTTTTAGAACCATAGGAGGGGTAAAAGCTTTAGGGATGTGGGTCAAGGATGTACAAAACTGCAAAAGGGGGACTCTCCACAGGGGCAAAGAAGGAACAACACGAGGAGAAATATTAGAAATACGAACGGAAAGAGAATCCTGTAAGCGAGATAAACGGACAGAAAGAGGGAGTTGGTGAAGAGGGAGTTGGTGAAGAGGAACAGGAACCGCAGGAGGGGTAAAATTTAAAGCACGACAGAGGCGAGAGGAAGGATGTTGCAAGGATCATGCAAGATAGCGAAGACAGTAGCGATCACGGCGGTCCTGGAGACAGGAAGCCAGTGTCAACATACAAGCTGAGGACAGGAGTCGAACGAAAGGCACCAGAACTGAGGCGCAACCCAGTATGGTGCAAAGCATCAAGACGGCGAAGAGTAGGAGGAGAAGCAGACGAGTAAGCGGGGCAACCATAATCGAGCTTAGACAGGACGAGAGAGGAATGTAAAGCAAGGAGTGCGCGCCTATCCGCTCCCCAAGAAGTATGGGACAATACCCAAAGGAGGGCAAGGGCCTTAGAGCACTCAACACGGAGGTAAGAGATATGGGAAGACCAAGACAAACGAGTGTCAAGGAATAACCCCAAAAGCTTCGATGAATCTTTGTACTCAAGGGGATGACCATAAAGTGACAAAGAGGGACGAAGAACGACCCATTTCCAAGTAAAAGTCATGGCACAAGTCTTAGTAGAAGAGAACTTGAAGCCATGATCGGTGGCCCAAGACGACACGGCATCAATCGCAAGTTGAAGTCGACGTTGAAGGAGAGACGAATCATCACCCTGACAGCAAAGGGTAAGATCATCGACATAGAGAGCGGAGAAGGTGCCTGAAGGAAGAGAGAAAAGAAGACCATTGAGGGCAACCAGAAAAAAGAGTAGTGCTAGGATCCTGGGAAAGAATAGTCCAGTTCTTGGCACTGGTCCTAGGGAAGACCTTGATAAACTTACCATGCTTCTCGTCCCCAGCAATGAGAAACCAGAAATAAAAACACATGGTGATTAAACATGCAGATGAGAGCTATTGGCCGTATTTTTATCTACAAAGAAATTACCTATTGACATATGCAGACGATGAGTCACAATAACATGGCTGAAGACAATGACCAAATCACACGCCAGAAGATGAGGAGGCGATGATGTTTTGGTCCGTCATGGACCATTATCAAGTCGATTGTGATGGGGGGAAAGAAAGGCATGGGTATTAAGGCAAAAGTGAGGAGCAGCAGGTACGAGGAGGTAATTCCTAGGAGGAGGCAAGACCAAGGGAAAAGGTAAGAGCAAAAAGAAAGGTACGGATGGGATGGGTGTAATAAAGGGGTGACAAAAGAATGAGAACATAAGAATAAAAGGAGAAAGAAAAAGATAAAGCGGGTAAGCTTATGTCAGGTCACGTTTGTTAGAAAGGTTAGAAGATTTGAGTATGTACCATGAAAGGGAAGAGTCAACAGCAACAAAGCCAGGGCTAAGGTTCATGTTGGGCAGGTTGTGTATCAGAGCCGTGTCAACAAGCAAACATCTGTGAAGAGTTGAGGCAAGAAAGATTACTTCAGCCACGTTATTGTGACTCATCGCCTGCACAAGAAAGATTATTTTAGATCAGTCAGTGAGATGATAAGAATCTCTATCATGACAGTAGAGAGCATTGTTTGTGTCTGCAGACACAAATGATGCTCTCTCATAAAAGAACACTTCTTTTGTGCTCCTTAAGTCTGTCATTTAATGTATAGGTAGTTTCCCCAAGGTATGGGAGAGGACAAGACGAACAGGGAATATAGACATGAGCAACATTAGAAGCAGTGTGAACCAGATTACTAGGAAGTGTCAGTTTGTCGAAAGGCGAGCTTTATGTCAAGAGGATGAAGGATATTTGTGAGATTTTTGAGTTCAGAAATGAAGGGAAGGCAGAGCACAGTGCTAGTAGTGTTGGAAACAGGTTTGGGATGAAAGAAATTTTGTTTAGCTTGAGAATAGGCACAGTTGATAAAATGTAAAGGATAACCAAGGCGAGATAAAGATTTGTAAATCAAGGAACTTTCCAAATCAAGAAACTGAGGGTTGCTTTCACTATCAACATAGTGAGAGGTCTGAGAATAGTGGTGTTCTAGTTAATGTTATAAATTTAAAAAAAAAAAAACGGCAATAAAACACACAAAGATCATTTTCATATATCATATGATCTTGTATGATTAGATCTCCATTATTGATGACTTTCTTGATGCATTTTGCATTCTGTAACAAGTCCAGTCATTTTAAGTCCATTTACATGACCTAAATTAGTTGTTGCAATAGTTGTGGTGGTGGTCACCACGCAGTCTTACATAGTGGTTCTCACTTTAAAATGAAACTATCCTTTTTGTAACTTAAAACACGAGGCCAACATCATCTCGGAGGCAAGGCACCAGCTGTGGTGCATGGATCTTGTACCCCTTGACCCCCCCCCATTTTTTTTTTTCCTCTATCTCCAGCTCCAGAATCTGTACAGGTCCACACGACGGTGCACTCTACTGAGGTGCACATGTCTAGCAGATGGGAAGCAGATGGGAAGCAGAGGTACCCCCAGAGGTGCTTTTAGATTTTTGCCCCGTGTCCTGACCATTTTCATCTAGAGGCAATTTTTTAACATATTAATGTGCCTTGTTTGGATTTTTGGAACATAAGCATTGCCTTTTCCCCCTCCAAAATTGGCTTTCATAAGTGATGCAGCACAATTTTTATTCTAGAAAATTTTGACTTCATTTGTAATGCTTTTTCTACACATGCATTGGTAGTGGCCTCTGAAGTACATTGCTGCTCTTTCTTCAAAGTTTCTTCTCAGGTTTTACCTTTAAAGTATGCCTTGAAACCGTTTTATTCTGCCTCATCTCCAACATGAAGGCATCTCCTTAGGTAGTGTTATAAACACTATTCTTGTCCTGGTTGCTTTGAATGATCTCCTTTCCCCTTTTCTCCTGATGGGTTCATTCTGCACTTTATTCTGACCTTACCATTTACTGTCTTGTTTGTTACTGTAGTGGCCTCTTGTAATGCTTTAATAGCCCCGAGTCTTAAAAAAAAAGAAGAGTTCAGCACATAAGCAATGTTAGATTTCAATTATGTTAAGATGAAATACAGCCAGATATAAAACATTCAAGTTTTAATCTCAGTTATAATAGTGTTGTCATCAATAACTAATTAAATTAACACAAACTCAGTTGTATGAGGGCCTCAAATGTGGGCACAGCTGTTAATTTGATAAGCTTGGAATAGACTTAGTATATATATATCAACAAACTATGTAACTAGCTCATCATGGCTATAACTTGCTTAGAAAAAAAAATTGGGGTTTCAGATCCCGAGTCTTATGTGCATATAGTACTGTACCTGGATCACACCTGGATGGGGTTCCGAGAGCTCTTCTACTTCCCCAAGCCCGGTCTCTACTTGTGATAGCTTGGTCCAACAGGCTGTTGCTTGGAGCAGACATATCCTGGGCAGGACAGAAATGGTCGGGCACATTTCCTATCATCTAATTCACCTGTTCACCAAGCAGTAAGTAGGTACCCAGGAGTTGGCCAGTTTCTTGTTAGTCCACTACAGCCTGGTTGGTTTGGTACTTGCAGAAAATGGTCCATTTTTTTTTTTCCACATTTGTTTTTTCAATATTTTTTATACTTGCTGGGAGGATATTGCACAACTGCGGACCTTTAATGTTCATACAGTGTTCTACTCTATTGTGCATATGGCACCTATACTCTTCAATGGCTCTATTCTGCATTTCCTTCCATATCATTCACTGAGTTATTGTTACTTTACTGTGCAAATTTGGGACCTGGCCCTCCAGTATTATCCATTTATATATTATTTGATACCTCTCGTTTCCTTTCTAGAGTATATTTTGAGAGCTTCCACTATGATTCACAGGACAGGTAGAGGCAGTGCATAATAAACGAAGCAAACTAACTTCAATAACCACCTTGCAGAAGCCTCTGCTTATGTACCTATCTCTCAAACAAATTCTTTACTCAGATTTCTACTGTCATTCATAACATGACATGAAATCACTGAAGATAAATACGGTTGGCTACACTATTACAAATAAATATATACTTAAGAGTGTCCCGTAGTACAATCATGTATGTCCTTGGTTCACAACTGAGACACCCTGGGTTCAATCCCCAAACAAGACAAAAGGTTGGGCACATTTTTTCACGCAATTCCTCTGTTCACCTCGCATTAAAATAGGTACCAGTGATCAGGCAATTGCCATGAGTTGCATCTTAAGAAAAGGTCAGTAGTTGGCTTAGTGGGGCCACTGCTCGATAAGCTTGAGTACTGTACAGGGTTCTTGTCCCTGACAACAGGAATTGAATGTTACATTCATCTGGCCTTCCTCCTGTAATCACAACAAAATGGAAAAAACTTTGGTTGAGTGTTATGAACCTTTATGAGTGTGGTTTGAGTATGTAGTATCCAAAACATGTAATGTCCCTTGCTATGAAATGTTTTATCAATGGATATACCATAGTCCAGGAATGTCATGTACACTTCACGTGGCTCCTACCTGCTGGCTTGAAGAGGGGCGTCATAAGCCATACTCAACGTCCCTCTGAACTAGCAGAGCACGCAAGCCCTTTGCCATGACAAGGTAAAGGTAGCATCTTAGTGGGCGGGTTACTAAACTGTACAAGACAAAATAATAAAAAACAATTCATATTTAACTAAATATTTATGTATTGAAACAACAATAACAACGTGTTCAATAAGAGGCCTTGTACAAGGGTGTATTATCTATCGAGTGACATTTGTTATATGAAACAAATAAAACAATAACAATTTAAAATTGTATGAAAGAGTAAGTATACATGCAAGATTACCAATTTTAACATAGATATTAAAGTGAACAACGGTATTAAATTACTGTCTGAATATTTATACCCTTCACTTACTTAACAAATTAGGTATCATGTCCAGAGCCTTCTCCTGTTACAGAGCAGGAAGAGGACAGGAAGAGATAAATGATTATGATAAAAAGCCAAGTCATTTATTGCATTTTCTACAAACATACAATGGACACAATTCGATATGACAATATATATATACACACATTTGTATCCTGGGTAAAATGGCTGTACACTTTCTACAAACCTATACTACATATAGGTGATGGGCAATACAAGTTACTACCTGGCAATACAAACTACTGTTTAAACTATACACTACATTTTTGTGCTCCCAGCAAAATACCAAAAAGAGCCAATTGATTAACTAGGTAAAAGTGAGAAAATAATTTGGAAGACAAATTATTATTTAGAAATATTATGCAGCTACTTGTCTAAGATAAAATGAACATGTGAAGTAACCAATTATATAAAATTAGTAATCATATACAAACTTATATATAGTTAACTGATGATTACACAAGTAACTTTAGTAGGACCTGATAGCAGGTGGTACAGTTGCACATTCTGCATCATCTAGGGTGTGATCAATTACAGGACGATACCATAGCTTCACCTGAGAAGAAGAAGAAAACCAGATTAACACACAGTACTAATATAAATGTCAGGGGGAAATTGAGTCCTGAAAACCACAACAAACTGAAATGAACAAATCCATGAGGGCCTTGATGAGGGTTCCCGGACATACCTTAATTCATTTGATATATCACGTAATTGCGGTTTCTGTGTGAACTGAAATGACGTTAGGTGACACGAAAATCCTCATAGGCCTAAGTGTTATAAGTAAAGGTGGTGTTCTTAGGGGTGCTGGGGAAGGTGTTTAATAAATTTTCCGCTCATTCACCTCCCAACGGCTTTGGCTGAACGGTACAGCGCCGGTCTCACTTCATGCAGGTCGGCGTTCAATTGTAACATGAGAGCACTACATAGAACATTAACAGAATAACAGCCACAGGGGCGAGGTGCCTGACAGTCGGCACAAAACAATGGAAAATTCACACCTTTAAGAAGCTAACCATGGGACAGTTGAACTCGGGTCAATGGTGATGTGGTCACGAGGTTATTAGATATGATGCAGTAATGCTAATCTGTCAAAAGTAAGCCAAAGACCTCACACACCTTGTCCAGCTGGTTAGGAGAGTTAACGTCCAACAACAAAACAGGGAGAGAAGTCGCGTGAGGTGGAGTTTGTTTGTGGTTCCGGGAAGGACGTTGTTTCAAGGTCACGTGGAACAACTGGTATAGTAAGTACGACTCTTGTACCCAACACATTGTCATTCAATTATCTTTGCCTCTGATGTGGAACAGTGTTAGGGAGTGTCATTCCTGTGTGTATTAATGGTACCTGTCTTAGTGATATTGGGCTTACCATCCCCTTTGACCCCTTGTGACCTAGTGCCCTTAATTATCCAGTACTCCTCCCCCGTCAGTCCCTTGTTGAGGTGTCGGTATTAGTGTCCCACCTTGCTCCCGTTTATTCTACAGTACACCCCAAGTGGTTTAAGGATTATTCGAGTGACAGGCCAAGATCCTTTTACCATTCATTTGTTTCTTACACCTGTCCTGGTAGGATACTATACCATCTAAAAGTCCTATGGTTCACTCCCTTCGGCCCCCTGTCTGGAAAACTCAGGGTGGTGGCAGCATTATTTCTTATTTGGAAAGTCATACGAAGACAGTAGCAGCTAATATTTCTCTCTCTCTCTCGCTCTCTACTCCCTTAACCCTTGTGCTGCTAAGGGCTATTTGGCCACATGCACAGGCGCATAACGAAAAAAAAAAAAAAAAATCTTCTAAATCTGTTAATTTGTGTTATCTGATCATGGGGGAAAAAAAAAATAGTAAGTGGCATATTTTGCCCGCTATAGGGCAGGGAAAAGAGGTGCCGACTCATCGTGCGTCCCAGGCGGTCTGCTCCTCCCCAGCTGTCAGGCAGGAGTGGCCACAAAGAGATAATTACCTAATTATTTCAATGTCTCTGATTTTTCTTATTTTTTTCTGTAATATTATTCAATAGTGTAGTGTGATATATTTCTATACTGTAATAAAATGTGTAAATCATCGCTGTACTCAAAATTATGGTGTGCATATTGCTGATTCAATTATTATGTTCATAAAACAGTGAACAAATACTTTGTCGGTTATTACACTATACACAGGTTATATATAAGTATCTGCATGTTTTGTTCACCATAACGAACCACCAAGTTGGTATTACGAGTCAAAAAGCAACGAGGAGTGACCGCCACACACCAGCCAGCCACTCGCTACCACTCACTCCCTCAACACCTCACTCGCCCACATTCTCCTCCCACAATACTGTTTTTGCTTTTATTCACTATATACAGATGTTATATATAAGTATCTACATGTTTTGTTCACCACAACTGTACACCTAAGCTTATATAGTTCAGGCACTAAGAGATGTCGCTACACTCACAGTCAGCTGGCGGCTGCCTCCCTCATACATTCAGGGTCAGACGCTCTAAAATTTCTCCCCCCAACAATACTGTCTGTGGTGTTATTACCCTGAATACACACATTATATGTAAGTATTTACATGTTTTGTTCACCATAACTGTTCAACTAAGCCGGTATAGTGCCCAAAGAGCATAGTGGCCACCCCTACCAACATGACAAATCATGCAGATGTCGCCACCTCCCTCACCAAAATGGCTTCTCCCCCACACTCCTTTTACTGTTATTGCACTGTATATACATGTTATAAGTAAGTATCTACATTTGTGTTCACCATAACAAACCACTAAGTTGATATGTTGACAGTCAACATACTTCAGCCACGTTATTGTGACTCATCGCCTGCATAAGTTGATATGCTGAGTGGCAGTGGCAGCCCGCCACTGGCTGTCACTTCCCTCCCTCACCTCACCCGATTCGCCACCATTCTCCTCCCACCATATTTTTCAAGTTTTATTCTCTATATACAGACGTTATATATAAGTATCTGCATGTTTCATTCACCATAGCGAACAACTAAGCTGGTATAGTGAGTCCAGACAGTAAAAGGTGGTCACAGTCAGCAGACAATGCTACCTCCCTCCCCACCAAGATTACTCCTCCCACTACAACCCTAATTATCACAACAATCCTCCTATTATCAGAATCCTGGTCATTTTTATCAGTCAGGGGTCTTCTGTAATACTATCATCGCTAAATAGCATGAACATATATATTATGGCATTTTTAGGCGAAGCTGTGGGGTCACAAGCTGAACAGCAATGCTGTGAGCTCATGCTGCGTGCACCAGCCTTGGTGGCTCACTCAGTACTGAGGCCCCTCAACACCCGGGAATTTGGTCCACGATTTTTTTTAAATGGTGTCTGTTTACAAAAACCCTTATGAAGGTGAAGTGAACCCAGTGTATCCACGGGCCGTTTAAATCTTGTGTAGTACTCCATCGTGTCATATGACGCGATGCTCAATTTATTGCAAGTTACTCAACCCTTCATATGACATGTTGTGCAGTTTAAGGGTTAAGTTGCTTACCCAGAGCTCAGACTATCCTGAGTAATTATTTAGGTTCTTGTATGACAGACCAAGTGTTAATTCAGTATATGACAATAGCAAGGAGCCCTGGTTATTACAATGGTGATAGCATCTCCCATCATTACACAATCCCCAACCATCCAAGTGCTTGGGCATCATTCTTTTTCCCCTTCCCCCCAAAGATCTGGTGGTGGTCAAATTTCCAACAGCCTGGTGGTCAACCAGGCTGTTGGACACAGCTGCTCGCAGCATACACTCTTAATTGTAAGTTGTGGTGGACACGTGGGCCTGCAGGCCACTCCAAGCAACAGTTTGTTAGACTAAGTTATCACAAGTCGAGCCTGGCTTGGGGAGAAAAAATGCCGACCCTAGTCCAGGTTTACCATTGCATTACAGTTACTTTAACACAAAAGCTGAAAAGCCACTAAAGTCTAAAACTCACAACCATAAACAGACTTACAGCACCAGTTTCCATATTGACAGTAGAGAGTGTGTGCTTCCGCCAGTGACTTTCAAATGGTGCGGGCTTCTGACCTTCTAGGGGCTTGCTGAAGTCGTATTCATCATGGCGAACCTGAAATAAATCGTCTTCTAAATAATTCACTAAATTTGATATTCTACATTTTAATAATTTTCTGACCGTGTAGAAATAAATTGCCTCTCAAGATTCTATTATCAGTCTGACAAGCGACATTGATAGGAGTAGACTTACATGGTGTATTAGGCCTGAACCAGAATTGTTAGCAGAAAAATTTCAACTCGACAAGCCACAACTGACGACATATAGATATCTACATGCTTTTGTTTGATTAATAATTAAATAACCAACAAGTACATTTATTAAAAAAAATCCAAGAATTGCGATCGAATGTCTTACCTTATAGTCTTCGCGGGCATGAGCACCCCGAGACTCCTTTCGGGCTTCTGCTCCGACTATTGTTAGAATCGCATTGATCATGAGATTCTGAAGTTCCAGGGTCTCCACCAAATCTGTGTTCCATATCATGCCACGGTCAACCAGCTGCAGCAAACACATGATATTATTTTTAATGGACCAGATATTTGTGTCTCCTTACTTAGGAATTGCATTTAAGACAATGAAAAGTGGGTGAATTCTTTTGATGTGCAAAACAAAATTAGTCACTTCACATTGCAGTACAAATATGGTCTATAGTTAAGAGTATTTAATAAAATTTAATGCACTGATACAGAGTGCTGCCATCTAAACAAAATGCATTTCCATTTATCTAAATTTTCTTCCCTATAACCCAAAAAATGAAAGCTTACTTAATACACAAATTTATGTGTCATAAATAATGGCTGAAGAGTTGACATCCAACCCACACAACTGAAAGTGAAAAACCAACTACTTTTCAGTCTGTCCTGGACCATTATTACACAATTCTATAATGATCCGGGACAGACCCAAACATCATTGGTTCTTCATTTTCAGACATGTGGATTATATCAAAAATTTAATTCCTAAAGGAACAGCCATGGATTATGCTGCATTGCACAAAATACTGTATTCATTAACTAGTTTTGATTTCTTACTAACTTCAAATATGCCCAAGCATGCACAGTGTAATCACATTAATATTATGTATCAGAGCAAATATCAAAGCAGTGTAATGGAAATGAACTTGCATCCCCGGACTCGTCCCTGCATTACCAACTGAACCATGACAAGAAATAAGTTATTCTGGGTAGCCCCTCTGGACGAGATACTTTTAAGCTCCTCATGGTTCAGTGGGTAGTGCACGTGTCTAAAGTGTCCAGGGATCTCCAAATCCCATTACACTGGCTCAATATTTTCTTAATTGCAACCCGTGTCTCATTTGGAGACACTAATAGTGAATTTCAAATCGAGGCAACTGACACAGCTTTGAACTTGGCAAGATCAGATAAGACGAGATGAACACAAGTTGTTCCATCCCCTTTAAATTCACTGAGATATGCTCCATCCCATCACAATGACCTGGACGTTATGTCAAACCACAACGCAGAACCTTATAGACATACCCGATTAATTGCAGAACTACATTACGAATAGCAACCTACCTTAATGTCATCCAACTTGGGCCATAGAGCAGTCATTCGATCACAACCTTCTTTTAGGACTTCACCGGTGCGGAAGACTGCCGCGTGATTTTGCATCGTTTTCTGCATTATTGATCGCACTTCTGCCGTCAACATGTTGCCCTTCGCAAATCTCAGCTTGTCAATGTTGGCCACTGATGCCTCGCCAGCATTCTGTACAAGGCAGCACCAAATACAATATACATTTTGCTAGTATGGCAATTCCAAAAATTATTACTTACCCAGTACAGTACAAACACACATGTACATACCTAATAGGCCAAGTTACCCAACAAGCCAAATTTAACTGAAATTATATATTAAAAAAAAAATTCTTATGGTTTGATAAAGCTTTCCATTAAATTAAAAAAAATAATCATACATATATTGTACAGTTAAAACTAACAAATCTGATCAAACCTAACATAACTAAGTCAGTAATTAATGTTCTTTATAATATTAATTGGAATAAATCAATTTGAAAATAATGAAATTCAGTCAGTCTGTTAGGCAAATTCAGCCTTGCATACTTGGCCAAATAGTACAGTTCTGGCTATTAGGTATGACACAAAGCCAGGTCCTTTAACTCCAAATAACAAAGTGTCAAAAAGCATCCTAGCTATCGAGGAAGACAAGTCTGTACACCAAGGGTTCAAAAAGTTTTCCCTGGAATGGGCATGAACGTACAAGCAGGATGGCAAGAGGAACAGCAGCATTCAAGATGAACTTTCAATTAAGAACCTTGATAAGATGATCACTAACTACCACACGAACACAAGGAACCAGCTGTAACTGGCTTCAGTCGAACCACTAGAACACTGGATCTCGAACAGCTCCATCTGCAAGACATCCTCCAGAAACAGAAGAATTAAGAAAAAGTGGAAAGGAAGACAGTGGGGCGACCAAGTAGACTCGACAAATTGACACGAAATGGCAAAGTCTTCCAATTTTGCAACTGCAGCAACAGTACAGCAAACTGCAGTATTAGTGTAAATATCTTGGACAAAGCATCACAGGCTGCTGGTGAAGAAAAAAGACTAACACTTTGCACAAACCGACCAGCTTGGAGATCACTCGAGGGAAGGAGGTAACCGAGTTCTTGACGAGCAAAGATTTTAAGCAGGCCGTCTAATCCGCTACAATTAAAAGCCGTGGAAAAAGGGGGAATCTAGATATGCTCCCCTGCCAGAACACTGAAGACAATGGAAGCCACTTTCCATTAGAGACCTTGCAAATGAAAAAAAACAAAAGACTGCAGTTAATAAAAAAAAAACACTGAATATTGCCAGCAAGCCAGGTGATATGGACATGGCACTACAGCCAAGGAACAGACGGGGCCAAACTCTGAAAAGAATGAACTCCAATTCACACACGTGGTTCCTATTCCAAAGGTACAAAAAAGTTTCAGAACCTACAGTACTAAGTCTGAGCAGCTGGAAGGCAGGATGACAAAGTATTTTAAAATCCAGTTAATTACTGTACCTTACCTTTGTTGAGGATGGTTATCAGGAGAAAGCGTTAAGCCACTATGACTACTGTATATAGCACTTGATCCACAACCCGAAGGATAAAAACCCAAGATGTGAAACCAGGATATGTCTTACAAACTAAATGAGAGGTTACAACATGTCCCCATACACAGGTAGACGTCAGATCAGTTCATAGTCTGTCTTCTCCAATAGAATCTTGTCATTCACAATGGAAGTAGAGCCCTGCAGAGGAGTGAAGTTGGCTTCAAACCAGAATACGGCAAAACAAAATAACTAGAGTATATCCAAAGAGCCTGCCACCCTTTCTCTGGGGCTACAGGGCCCCCTATGAAAGTTTAGAACACCCCTACACACCCCCTAGGAACAAAGGCAGAAATATATCCCAAGCCTCTTGGGGACCCAAGACTAGGATAAAAGAATGGGAACCCAAGCACTTTGCAGACACAAATTAATCTTCATACACCTCGGCATGAGAAATGGATCATCAAACAAGAGTCCAGCCCATCCTTGACTCCCAAGTCAAGGCAATCAGAATGGCCAGATCTCTTTTCTAAATGAAGATATTATATCAAGACTCTGCAAAAGCTGGAAGCAGCCTGCCAGTGTCTATTCTTCTGGCCTTGTGTTATTACACAAAGCAAGCACAGAGGAAGCTTCATAAGCTACCTACTATGACGTGGGTTCGAACAAAATGGTCAAGCAATTACAATTTATGTGCACTGTTGCAAGTTGCTCAATCATGAATCTCAATCATTTATATATATACTGTATATGGTAGAGAACAGAGGTCTTGGAACAGAGCCCTGGAGGTCTAACCAAATATATACGATAACTCTGAAATAACCTTCCCAACCATTTGGGCTGAATGGTAGAGCAATAGTCTCGCTTCTTGCAGGGTGGCGCTCAATCCCCGACTGTTCAAGTGGTTGGGCACCATTCCTTCCCCCATTTCATCCTTATCCTGATCCCTTCTAAGTGCTATATACAGTAGTCTTAATGGCGTGTTGCTTTCTCCCGATTGTTCTCTTCTTCAGAAATAACCTTTTAATAAGAACAATCAAGGAAACCCACAGATGGACTACTGGCCTATACATGGCAGCTCCTATTCATATCTCGTTTATGTATATATGTCTACAACACACACACACATTACATTATATGATACAATTAATCACCACAAATTATCTAAATTAAAAAAATTAAGAAGAACCGAGATAAAAAATATAAACACTCACAGGAGACAGCTCCCCGATGGATTCACCAGGCTTGTTTTCCTGAGCTATCGTGTGAGCACACGCTCGGCCAAACACCACAAGGTCCAGGAGAGAGTTGGCTCCCAGACGATTGGCTCCATGGACGGAGGCACACCCTGCCTCACCTGCAGCGTACAGACCAGGCACAATTTTGTCTTCTTTTCCGTCATATGTAACCACCTGTTGAAAATAAAATCAGCGTTGAATGTAATGAAATGCCACTTTCTGGGTGAGCCCCTGAAGCTCCCTGAAGCTATCCGATCTGATATGCACTATATTAGTTTGGGAGTCACCAGTCACAGGAGTCCATATGCCTACTGGGAATCACGTGCCAGGACATGGCCCCCTCAGAAAGGTGCAGGGAGCAATGGCCTATGAGCACTTTACATTTAAAGTATAGTACTGTATATCATAATTGCCATAGACCGGGGAAAGGACCCAGAAAGGTAGACGAGTTAAAACAGACCACCGTCTGGTTAACTTGTGCAATCTACATCCTAAAAGATCAAAACAAGTCTCCTAGAAAGAAACCCAACAAGCAACACTTCATGCACCTAGCACTCCTGCTTGTTTGTGGAGGGGGTCGACAGCCCCTCCACTCCAGTTATTGAACAATGAAAACTGCCAACCAGAGTTGACACTGACACTGTCAGTGTCAAAACTTGACACTGCGGATAACCTGACTCACACAAGCCCTGGAACAGGGAACTATGGAAACCGGATCCACGCACAGTCCACTGTCAGAGAACCAGTGGCAGGCAGGTAGCGGTGTAAAGCCGCCACCGGACATAATACACCCCCGGCCTAACAAAGCATCCACAACCACGGACCCCTACGGAAGCCTGCCGTCTCATTATATGCCAGAAAAAAAAGGAGAAGGCTGCAAACAAACAAAACGACCACCTGGACCAAACGAACAGAATCTCCGGCGTCGGAGGAGAGCACGAAGCTCCCCAATTCGAACCACAGAGGCCAAGGGCAACAAAAAGAAGGCCTTCCAAAAGCAATCCCGAACCGAAGCAAGGAGAACAATAAAGCGAGGAGAAAGAAAGAATAGAAAGAACTCGATCTAAAGACCAAGAAGGCTCATGCGGTGCACGAGCAGGCCATAGGTGAAAAACTAATGAGAAAGCTAGCGGAACGGAGTGGAAGTAACATCCACCCCAAATGCAAGCAGCAGTGGTTCCACCAACACCGCGCAATATGAAGCGACAGTAATAAGCATGAGATGCCGACCCACAAAAAGCCAAGAAAGGACAAAACAACCTGGCCTGAAATTGGCAAAAACCGAGAAAGAGAAAGAAAATGTCAGAAAGAATGCCAAGAAACGTCATACTGTCGTTGAGAAGAAGACCCACAGGTGGGACACCATCAAAGAAGTCAACAGATCACCATACATATGGCGATACACACGCGCCGGAAAGACCAGACGCTTAGTGTGGAGCACTCAGGAAAACCAGCGAGGTACCTCACTGGTCTGACCTGCTGTAAAAGGCGGAGTCGGGAAAAATGCCTGGGTTTGGACACCATGCAAGCAGTGCCTGAAACCAAGACTGGGCCAGACACCTTGGAGCCAGGAGAACCACTCAACCCCCCTCCCCCCAATAGGAATCCAGCCGAGCCAGAACATCATCAGCACCAGGGAAGAAGTAGTACAGGAACCCCTACCTCAACCAGTTCTGCCAAAAAGCATCTACCATGAGGGCCTTACAGTCAGGGAAAGGCTGTAAAATGGAAAGTACAATGAAAAATGCAGAGACCACACTGACACCAGGGCCTGGTAGCCTGGTGGATAGCGCGCAGGACTCTTAATTCTGTGGCGCGGGTTCGATTCCCGCACCAGGCAGAAACAAATAAGCAAAGTTTCTTTCACCCTGAATGCCCCTGTTACCTAGTAGTAAATAGGTACCTGGGAGTTAGTTAGCTGTCACGGGCTGCTTCCTGGGGTGTGCGCGCGTGGTGCGGAGAAAAAAAAAGTAGTTAGTAAACAGTTGATTGACAGTTGAGAGGCGGGCCGAAAGAGCAAAGCTTAATTCTGCAAACACAACTAGGTGAAGGTGAATACAAAGGGGTTCACCTCCGGGCGCCCATACATCCGACAAAGCCAAAGGAAGGAGGCGGCATCGACCGTCCACTCCGTGGAAAGAGGAATGGAGCGTGTCAGGCCATCTGCCAGGACAATGGACACACCCTGAATGCGAATGTCACAGAGCTAAATCCTGAGAACTCAGCAGAAGAGCTACCCGAAGTGAATAGCCCCAAAGCCATGGACCGAAGTGACCCCCCCCCCCAGTTGAGACAAGGAACCACGGGGGAAGCAGTCCAAATGGAGACGGATCACCGAGCCCGAAGGAAGCCGGATCTGTCGCAGTGCTTGCCACACAGCCACAAACTCCCGCACCATGCTGTGAGCTCGAACAAAGGATGGCGCCCAACGCCCCTGGCTGCCCTTGTGAGCACAGGTCACAAAACCCCAAAATGAGAGACGAGGAGTCCGGGAACACATTGAGCGAGAGGGAGAGGAAGACGCCATGGCAGCAAAACCCAAAAACCCCAAGAGGAGGCCGAAGAGGCAGCAACTGATGCAAGGACACCGGGGAACAAACCCAGTGATCGCGAAAGCGGCGAAAGAGGCCGCTCTGTAGATACCAAAACACAGCCTCCGAAGCCAAACCCTGCCCAACGGATAAATCAGCAGGGAAAAGTTCGGGCTCCTGCACAAATGCTCGAGCAACCGCCGAATGACCCTGGTCCCTCCCAAAAACAGCTGAAGGTGGGATTGCAACCGGAGCAAAGCCACAGGAGGGAGAGAAATGGATGTAGTCCGAGAACCCCACACTAGGCCTAGCCAAGCCCGAACCTGGGACTGAACCCACTGGGACTTCTGCCAAGTTACCAGGAACCCCGAATCCGGCAAGCTGGGAAAGAACCAGAACCCTGGCTACCAGACGGGGTAGGGAGACCATACCAACCAGTCGTCGAGGCAGGTTGCCAGCCAGGAAGAAACCGAAACCTCAAAATGCACCCGATCAGTGTAAGAGGAATCGAACTCAAACAAAACCAGATCCAACACAGAGGCATAAACTCTGTGTTGGGCCAAGGGCCTCCCAAACCTCAGCAGGGGGGAAAGAAGAAAAGAGAGGAAGAAAATCTCCATAAAGATGAATCCAAGGAACCCTAGGGCACCCGGAAATGAACCTGGAGGGAGGGGAGCCCTATCTACCGCATTTTCTGGTGGATAAAAGGCACAATGTTAAATATTTTTTTTTTTACTGATAGGGAGCCAGACGAGCATTCAGGCTAAGGTCGCTAGGCACAAAAAAGTGCCCATAATAAAAGAAAGGAAACAAGCCTATAATATAACCCCTGTCCGGGATCACAAGACTGAGGTAATAATATTCAGAAGTACCAGTCTTGTACACAAGAAAAGACTGACCCGGGAACATACAACCACCACCCACAATTCTCCAGGGGAACGGACAAGGGAGAACAAAAATGGAGGAATCAATACGACTGGTTATATCTTGAGGTTATCTTGAGATGATTTCAGGGCTTTAGTGTCCTTGCGGCCTGGTCCTTGACCAGGCCTCCACCCCTAGGAAGCAGCCCGTGACAGCTGAGCAACTCCCAGGTACCTATTTGCTGCTAGGTAACAGGGGCATCAGGGTGAAAGAAACTCTGCCCATCGTTTCTCGCCGGCGCCCGGGATCGAACCCGGGATCACAGGATCACGCGTCCAGTGTTCTGTCCGCTCAGCTCCTGGCTCCCCAAATATACATGGTACACCCATAATGGGACACAGGTGGAAACCGAATATCCAAAGGAGTCACAGAGATAAAAAAGAACTTGTCCAGAGGCAGAGTAGTAAAGAAAGGGAATGCAGGAGACAGTGATGAGGTGGAGGCTGCAAACGTTGAAAGATAGGAGCTCAAGAAGCTCAGGAATGGAATACCAGTAGAACAATAGGCGAGAGACGGGCCCAAAACAGCCGAAGCGCAACCTCCATGAGCACAATTAGAAGAGTACAATGAGGCGAGTACAAACTTAACAAAACTACAGATGACACATCGGCAGGGATGAGGGAAGCACATGCCAATTCACGTACCTCCCCACCCATTTCATAGCAGACTTAACTGACACCTGAGACATGTCATACAAAAGTGAATGAGTAACTGCTTAGAACAATGGCGCATTAACTGAATGAAAAACGCTCCAAAATGTGGGAAAGGAATGATAAACCTTCAACCACCCAGCCGCCATATTCAAAGAGTCGATGACAACAAACCACAGCTGTGGGATGGTGCGCTACCCTGGCAGCCAATCATGGCACCTCCAAACATCACTCGGAAACCCAAGGTTCACAATCTATATAGCAAAATTCTTGTCAAAATTATAAACCACGAAGCCACTGATCTGAGTGGAGGGAAAAGCAGTGGTACCAAAAGCACCGGGAAATAACGTGCAATAAATGTATGATGAACCACACGAAAGTCATTATACAGTAATAATCCCCCCCCCCCCCAACACAGTACAAAACATTCAAGCAAAAGATGGAGGCATCCAATGCAAGGGTGTGTAAATCATGCTGGCAAATATGGTAATACTAATACAGAAAGGGAAGGAGGATGAAAAACCCCTCCCCCTGCAGCAACAACCCCTGCCCAGAAGGCACAAGGCAAAAAGAGCCTAAGAGCTCCAAAAGGACCCCCACCCTCCAAAGCCCCAACACAGGCCCCAGGGCAGAGCTCTCTTCCATGCCCACTACCCCTTGAAGAAGAGGTAGTGCCCAGGGGAAAAGCTTTCAAGAAGGGAGTCTGCTGGGTTGACTCTGAAGCCTTGGGGGGAAAATCGGGTTCAACCACCGCTGCACCTGAATTGGAAGGGGCAGCCCCCGAAGCCACCCGAGCCTCATCCTGAGCTAAACCCCGCCCCGACTCTGAAACCCTCAGACGTTCGGGAGCCGGAAGCAGGAAGGAAAGAAAAAGGAGCAGGTAAAGGAAGCAGGGGCACGTAAGGAACCAAAGTCAAAGAAACTAATGCCCCCTAAATCCTAGTCCCTAAAACCTAAGCGGGGCAGCTCCGGGACCTCTAACCGGGCAACCAACCTGGCTGATTGCAGTAAGGAGAATCAAGCATGCAAAGCAGCCGTTGCCTGATCCTTGGGATCAACAGACAAGGAATGAGTAAAGTGAAGTACAGTACAAGCAGGGAACAAGGCCCACAAGTCTTCAAATTGGTAGTGTCACGACCCAACAGACAGAGTGATGTAGGCCGTGCAGATGATCATTTGCCTGAGGCAGGGGGGAACGAACAACCAATGACTTCACACAAGGCGAGAGCGGGCTCGGAAGAAGTAGCCATTCTACGACTGAGCCCACAGGGGTTTTCCAGGGCCCGTTCGGTTAATTAGCCCTACAGGAAGTCCAGGCACTGGGACCAGCTAAGCTGGAAGAATCCTGTCAGGTAGCAGGCAAACTGACCACTAGTAGCAACTATGAAACCTCTCAACCAATATAGGAGGACAACCAACACAACCTAGGCTTGCCTAATAAGAAGCTAAGCAGACTTCCTCTGTTTAAACAAGGCAAGAACTCCAAAAAATTAAAAGAAAAACAAAACAAAAAACAGAAATCAAACTGGCAGTCAGAGAAACATCAGCCACTGCGTTGAAGTAAAGCTAGCTGCACCAGCCACAGAGTGCCCCACCCAGGCGCACTGCATAACACTCCCCTACCCAGGGCAAGACGGAAAGCCCTAGACTATCAAGGCCAAAATCATCATCAAGCAATGAAGTCTTTAAACTGGGAGCAATTCCCAAACACCCCAGGGAAGATAACCCAGACACATAAGGGCGGTACTCATGGAGTACTGCCTAGGCACATGCTGCTGCTATACACTAAGACCTGGCCACCACACACAGCTGGAATAGCTATACACGGCAAAAATCCTGAACAGGAACGTGAAGCCAGAGGATACTGATCTGACAACCAGCACTTCACTTTAAGAACTGGAGTGGTGGGCTGCCGGCTCTCCCTCCCGTGTCTTTTCGGATGTAGATTGCACAGGTTAACTAGACAGTGGTCCGTTTTGATTCGCCTTCCTTTCTGGGTCCTTTCCCGGTCGATGGCAATTATGACATACTTTAAATGTAAAGTGCTCATAAACCATTGCTCCCTGTGCTTCTCTGAGGCGGACTAGGTTCTGGCTCATGGTCCCCGGTAGGTATAAGGACTCCTGTCACCGATGAACCCAAACTAATAGACAAAAGCTATCTGTACATATCAGTGCAGATAGCTTCAAGGAGCTGACAAGGCTCCCCACAGAAAAATACAGTATTTAATATTTTGGTTTTATATTTATAAATGAAGGTTATTGCTGTGCTATGTATAGTAGACTATTTTAAAATGTTTTATACTACCGTATATTAAAACTACTGATATACATATTGACCAGACCACACACACTAGAAGGTGAAGAGACGACGACGTTACGGTCCGTCCTGGACCATTCTCAGGTCGATTGTGCTGACACAATCGACTTTAGAATGGTCCAGGACGGACCGAAACGTCGTCGTCCCTTCACCTTCTAGTGTGTGGTCTGGTCAACATACTTTAGCCACGTTATTGCGACTCATTGCCTGCCTACTGATATACATACATTACTGTTTCCTATTGCTAAGGACATTAAGCTTGTATGGGTCCCCCCTAGGCTAACAACTGACCTGGCCCAAGATGCAACAGACAACAGTTGCCCAACTCTTGGGTACCTATTTAATTGCTACGTGAACAGGCATATCTGGTGTACATGAACAAGCAAAAATATCTTTGTGCCTGGGAATTAAACTCTGGACCAACTGGTCGTGGCTGGCTGTGCTAACCACTGACCTACATTCTATACAATCAAAATTCTTCCCAACACATTACACATTTCTGACCTCAGAGCATGGGCGAAGGTTATACATACCTATTCATAGCTCTGTGGTCAGTTCAGTCATGTCACATGTGAAAAGGTCTCTCGTTTAATTTCTACGGCAGGACAGAGATGCCCGGGTGGGTTTCCTTTCTCACTGGATGCCTCTGTTCATCAGGCAGTAAATAGGTCCCCCGTATGTTAGGCAACAGTTGAGGGTTACATCCTGGAAAAGGTCAGCACGTGGTCTTGGTGACCCTCAACAAGCCTCAAGACGTTTCCAGTCCCCCGACAATGGGAACCTTTTATCTTTCTTACTCAAATAGATTCACACCCTTTCCCTCTTTAATCAATTATAAGCTACCGATTTTCTTATTGATACATCACGTTTATATGATTTCTTAGTGCAACACCTTTCTTATTATTAGTAATTCAAGACAAAATTCAATAATTTGAAATATCTAATCATGTGTAATTATATACATCTGTATTTTAAAAGTATGAGGACTGTTTAGTTTATTTCCATATTAATTCTACAATGTATATACACAGTGGAACGTCGATTTAATGAATCTCCAGTCGGGTATTTTTTATTTTTTTATTTTTTGGCCTTTTGGAATTTGTTTGTTGGGGGAATGGTAACTTTATACGCCTCCTATCACTTTGATGATCATATTTGTAGATGGACTCTAACATTGCAAAAAATAGTTGGAGCCTTAGGAAAGCTATAAAGTATATTTAAAACTAAATTCCATGGACTGTTTTCATTTTGAGTTGGCAAGGTTTTTATTCACTCGCATATGGCCCGAGAAAACGAGTTTTGAGGCTGGGGAGAAATAAGAAATAGATGTGAGAAATAAGCTAAATGTGGTTAAATTTCTTTGCAGACATGCTCAATTGGTACTTTTCCATTATATTTATAGGTTCAAATGAACATTTTGTCATGTGAAATTAGCCCAAAGGGCACAGGAAATGCATCTTGGGGGCATCACTGGTTGCAACGAATCCTTCACTTCACAACGAATTGGGGTTGGTTGCATACAGTTGTTGAATCAAGGTTGTACTGTGTTGCTAGTGTGATAAAAGTGTGTATACCAACAGTGTACATCTACATATACATTAATACATCTATGTATATAGCATACCAGTATTGTACTACACCTGTGAAAGTACCCAACCTGTCCCCTCAAACAATACACTGTATTTGGACTATAAATCCCCAATGGACAAGGTAAGGGATACTATGAAAACGTAGCAGCTCACAAACACACACACAAAAGAATTCAATTGACAAACCTGTCCCTTGTAGTTGGTTGGGACACCGCCCATGTTGTAGTGCACTGTAGGAAGTACAGGAATGGGCTCACGGGTCACATCTACACCAGCAAAGATCATGGCGGTCTCAGAAATACCCGGCAACCTTTGTGCCAGCTGGTCTGGGGGAAGATGGTGAAGCTGAAAGCGAAGGTCATATATAGTTATTAATATATACTTTGGAAATTTTCAGGGTTCATCCCATTTTGCATACACTACACTAAGTTTCCTAACCTGTTTTTATGTCACACAAAAACTTGGTATTGACTAATTTATAATTACTTATTTATAAATATTATAATTAACAGCCATATGCAATGTAAATACAAATATGAAAATTTAATTAAATCAACAAGCAGAATTATTACTACTATTGTATCTTCTTGTAGATCAATCACCTTCCATGCTCCCAGAAGCACAAATTTAAACATTATCATTTCCAGGTTAAGGTTTCCTACCATAGCTTATTGCAAAGTCTAACCCCTATATACATTAAAAAAAAAAAAAAATGCCAGGATTAACCATTTGCTACTGGATGCACAGGAGGAAGGGAAATTCGGTAATGGTGGCCAGATCCTTTTTGCACCCTGCCCAGAGGTCAAACTTCTGCCCATACGATGCCTCTAAAGATTCTAATGAAATCCAGAATGAACATGGAGAAGGAACCAAAAATGTAATTTGGGTTGAAGGGCATCCTCAGCGCTTCATCAAGCTCCCTCTAGACCCTGAAGTCCCAGGAAACAAAGACTCCAGAGCAGATCCGTGTTCCATGTCAAGTGCCAAAACAGAAAAGTTTTCCCAAAGGGAAGGACTCGTGCCAGTAATTGACAAACGGAAGGCAGTAGATCCTTGGCTCATATACCTGTCACCAACAACCCCCAGAGAAAACCTAACCACACTCACTAACCCCAGACAACAATAAAGGAACAGACTCCGGGGTAACCACACCAATAGCAGGTCGCAAACAGTGCACACAGGAAAAATCACTCCCATGAAGCAACAGCTCTCTGATAGGCCGAGTCACAAGATGAAGGCTCGAGCAAAAATGGGTAGAAAGTGTCACCTAACCAGCAGGCAGCATTGTGAAAGGAGTAAGAATGGCCATCAGTATGCAATAAGACTAAAGGACATTCCTGCAAACTCGCTACCTGCAAGTGCCGGCTCAGAGGGTCAAACCATACTAAAAACTGCTAAGAGGCTTGCCGGGTCCCAAAAATAATGACCAAACAGGAACACTGGGCACAGGAGCTGCCCATTCTATCCTCGGTGAGGATAGAATGCCACAAACACAGCTGAGGAGCAAAGGTGGCTGCAAAAGGTGAAAGTCGCACACCATAGAACAAGCCACCAAAGCACCTGTATAAAAAAAAAAAAAAGTACCAACCAACAGCCTCGCAGACTAGTAAAAATAATTTCACATAATACTTAGAGCGTGGCTCCCTCATCAAAGGAGGGAGTTGCCTCTTAAGGACCACTACCTGAAACCACCTGGAAAAGAAATACCTGTAATGTCAGAGCAGGTGCAAGAAATAAAGAAGTCCACACAAAAAGCAAGGCATAGTAACATTCCCATGAATAAAATACTGTACAAAAAGAAGGAGCAAGAACATAAGCAACTAGGGGCCCCTGTAAGGCAGTCCAGAGGATAACTATCACTTGTCAAAAAACTAAATAAAAAGTGCACCAGTAGATAAGAGGAGCTGGAGAGATATTGCACAGTTGCACAACTATTAATGACTGAGAAGTTGGCTGGGCAGAGCTGGTACCTCAGGGTGCTGCCACCTGGTGGTGAGCAGCTGCTACTAAAGGGTGTTTAACCCTTGGGTGGATCATTTCCGGGTTTCATTTTCTGTGTTTTGTTTACCTCTCCATTATCCATTTTGTTTTGCTTTATCGTTTAGAGGGTGTTTCTTTGATCTAATATCCTCAGCTCCCTGTGCATCTAAGGAGGGGGGGTCCAGGTTTTGGCTCCCCAGGTCTACAGTAGGCTCAAAATGACAAGGGCCTGGTGCGATTCAAACCGAATGGAGCTATCCAGGTTGCTAGCGACAGGACGCCACCGTAGAAGCGCTCCCAAATAAAACTTTAGCAAGACTTGTAAAACCATTGTAATTAAAGAGATTAAGAAAAAATTTGGTTGTACTGTAATTAATTATACAAAAAAACAAATATTTGTTCCTCACCTGTAAGAAGACATGATCTTTCTCGGGTCCACATCCTCGACCCTCTCGAATTTCAATGGTCATTGAGCGTGAGACAACATCACGAGATGCCAAGTCTTTGGCAACTGGTGCGTAACGCTCCATAAACCTCTCTCCCTCACCATTAACCAAAAAGCCGCCTTCTCCCCTGCATCCCTCAGTCATCAAGCAGCCAGCACCATAGATTCCTACAAAAATTTACAACATATAAATACATTTGGAATAGTTACTCTGCACATTTTATGTTCATTGACATTGTAAATGCAGTACTGGCCAACAAGAAGTTATAAACCGTATGGATTATAGTAAACCATTAGTCTATTGCATCCAATGGATGACTGGATGTAACAGACTGAAACAGCTCAACAAACAATCAATTGCATTCTGATTGGATGCTGGTTCTGCACTTTTCCTGCTCCTACACTGATATTTCAAGCAAATCTAACAAAGGGCCCATACCTTCCAAAATGGATAGCATAAAAAAATTAAGAAATACATCACCTACTATACACAGAGTGAGCGAGCGAGTAAGTACTCACCTAGTTGTACTTGCAGGGGGTTGAGCTTTGGCTCTTTGGTCTAGCCTCTCGACTGTCAATAAACCGGTGTACAGATTCCTGAGCCTACTGGGCTCTATCATATCTACATTTGAAACTGTATGGAGTTTGCCTCCACCACATCACTGCCTAATAAATTCTATCTGTTAACTACTCAGACATTAAAAAAGTTCTTTCTAACATCCCTGCGACTCATTTGGGTACCAAGTTTCCACTGTTTCCACTTGTGTCCCTCCTGTGCTAAACAGTTTAGCTTTATCTACCCTTGTCAATTTCTGAGAATATTATAGGTAGTGATCATGTCTCCCCCAACTCTTCTGTCTTCTAGTGTCATGAAGTTGTTACTGCAAACTTTCCTCGTAGCTCATACCTCTTGGCTCGGGGAATAGCCTGGTGGCATACCTCTGAACCTTTTGCAGGTGATGAGTCACAATAACGTGGCTAAAGTACATTCTTGACATTCTTAAGACATCGACTTGAGAATGGTCCAGGATGGACCGAAACGTCGTCGTCCCTTCACCTTCTAGTATCTGAACTTTTTCTAACTTCGATTTGTGTTTGACTAAATGTGGACTCCAGACTGGAGCCGCATATTCATGCGTGTGTGTGTGTAATTACCCAAGTGCAATTACCTAAGTGTAGTTACAGGTTGAGAGCTATGCTCGTGGTGTCCCGTCTTCCCAGCACTCTGTTTCTCTCTCTCTCATATAATGCTTTGAAATTACTGATGGTTTTGGTCTCTACCACCTTCTCAATTTGTTCCAACCGTCTACCACTCTTTGTGAAAGTGAATTTTCTTATATCTTTCTGGCAGTTTTGTTTAGTTAGTTTAAATCTATGACCTCTTGTTCTTGAAGTTCCAGGTCTCAGGAATGTGTGTGTATTTACTATTTATGTCTGCAGAATTGAGCTATTAGCTCTTGGACCAAACCTTTCTAACCAATTTATTTATGGTTAGAATGAGGTTATTTGGGTTATTTGGATAGAATGTTTAGTATATTATGTGTGTGTGTGTATTACACAATATACAGTACCAACATACACACACATACCTATATATTCCTCAAAAGATAAATTTATTGTATTAAGGGACAAACTGAACTTGAAATATATACCACTGAAGTACTGGAACAATTGGAAAAAAAAAAAAAATTCCTGTCTTGGAATGTTAGAATGTATTTAATCTACCAGGTTTACTAAATCATGGCTACAGTTGCCAAAACAAACTTACAACTTCCTTCGCCACTCTGACAATGACGTCTTACAAATGAAAGATTGAAATAAGCCTTCTCAGGTTCAAATTAAGAACCCCCCCCCCTTACCAGTGGGATGAAACTGAATAAATTCCAAATCCTGACACGGCAGGCCAGCGCGCGCGACCATGGCGTTGCCGTCCCCCGTGCAGGTGTGTGCCGAGGTGCAGGAGAAGAAAGCACGACCATAACCGCCCGTCGCCAGCACAGTATTTTTAGAACGGAATCTGGAAAAATAAAATATACAGTATATATAAAATCGAAACTGGTGAGTTACATCAAGGCAATTCCAGTATATTAAAAAAAAATGATTAATGTAATGAAACGCCCCCTTTCTCATGGGGTCCTCGGTGGCTCCCTTTTGCTAAATCGCCTGGATAGCTCTACCCAATTTGAATTTCACCAGGTTCTTGTATGTCTTTGTAAGACTACCAGAGGCCAAAACCTGGTTTCCTCAGAGGCAAAAGAAATAGCCGTCAGAGAGAAAAGCTGGGATACACTCTAGAGATGCCAGAAGCACCTAAAGTGGCAGATATAACTCCACAGCACGAGGTAGTAAAGCTTAGTCTAAAACATAGACCAGTTCGAACTAAAATTTTGCACAACTTTTTTAAAAGAGTAATTAGGAATCAAATCTCCAGTTTTATTGAGAACAATGAATTTCACAACCCAAGTCAACATAGATTTAGAGCGGGAAGATCTTTTCTTTCATAATTACTCAATCACTGACAAAATCATAGAAGAATTACAAGGAAAACAAAATGCAGATGCTGTATACATGGACTGTGTATGTGACCATAGAGAGACAGCACAAAATGAAATTAACAGGAATAACAGGTTAAGTAGGGCATTTGATTTTAAATTTTCTATCAAACAAATTGGAAAGAGTAACAATCAATCAATCAAATAAAATGAAGGCCAAGCATGGTAAAAAGCTCTGTACCCCAGGACACAGTCCTTGCATCACCGCTCTCTCATTCTCATATCAGACAAAAATAATAAGTCACATCTTTGTGTCAATGGAACTAAACAGAACACTTGGCATGCAACCAGGAACCCAATCCAGACCAAGCCGGCAAGGAACTGAACACTGGCCACCAGATGAAAGAAAACAAGCAAGACAAAGGGGAAAACTCTCAAACAAAAATGAACACCAGAGAGCAACAAAACAGAACCCACAAAGGTCCCAGAAGGGACAGGAAAGGAAGCCAATATGAGGCTATGCCAGGCACAGAAGGGAGAGACTATAAATGTGGATAAAATAGAAATATAAACTTACTTAAAATGTGATGATAAACTGGCATCGGACACAAAATAATGATAATCTGGACTAGCTATTCATACTTAATGCTTCAACACACAAAAAAAAAGAAAAAAAATGCAGATCACATTACGAGGTTTCTCAAACTTACCCAGCCTTTGGGAACGAGTCCCAAACTGAATACTGTAGTAGTGCGAGAAATTTACCTGTGGATTGATCCATCTTCTAGGCAGAGTGCAATGACACCACGGCACTCCCCATCCTCCATCAGAAGATCCAGAGCAAAATATTCTATAAAATAGTTGCAGTCATATTTCAGAGACTGTCCATAAAGGGTGTGGAGGAGAGAATGGCCTGTACGGTCTGCCACACAACAACACCTGTCATGGATTAGAAAATGTCTATACAGTACTGTACAAATTTACGAGTAGAATTAACTCTTGAGAGTTAAAAAAAAAAAAAAAAAAAAAAAAAAAAAAAAAAAAAAAAAAAAAAAAAAATTAAACACTAATTCAATATGAATAGCATCTTTTTGAGCAGAGCCATTTGGTTGCTTCTTAAAGTAAGAATCCTCTGCATCATTTACTTGGAGCTTACCTGAAGATGGCTTTGTGAACCCTTGCTCAAGCATAGACTGGGGCCAGGATCGTCTTGTGATAATCTATTGGATTTATGAAAGGTCAGCTAGAAAAAAATTCAAGACATTGCTGTCACAGAATTTTTTTGTAATGTCCCTACAGTCATAAATTGTTAGGAAGGCAGTGATTATAGCTCAAGTTTTCTCGGTATGACTTATCAGAAGAACGTTAACAAACTGAAAGCCCTACTAAGTCCCTGTGGTAATGACACTTGAATGTTGTTCTGCCTGACTGCTCATGAATCACGTCTATCATAAAGGATTCTTACCTTGAGAAACAACCTCATAGAAAAGATTAGAAAATGTATCAATTAGCACTCACAAAACACACTAAAGGAGAAACCTCATTCAGTATGACCATTACAAAGTCATTTCAGAGTTGTGGGTTGGGTGTCTAATATTCAGTGACGTTATCAAGACATGGTTTGCAAAAGGATTTTCCTTCGAAGATGAAAGTGTATTTTTAAATGGATAATGTTGTCAGTTGAGTATAATTTATTTGTTTCTCAGCTTTGTTGCTGTGTGTGTGTGTGTGTGTGGTAGTTAACAGACCTGTAGCTTACCTTGTCTGGTAGGCTACCACATACAATATTTACAACATCAAATTTTATCAAGTTCAATAAGAAAATAACTGTATAAGTTAAAATATCATGAGAGATGATTTAACCAACCTGTGAGCCTGGCCGCCTTTGCCAAAGTTATAGCTCTGACCACCAAATGCTCGTTGATAGATTTTGCCATCCTGGGTACGACTGAAAGGCATGCCTGGAGAAAATTGTAAAGCATTTTAAACATATAAATCATGAGTTTAACATTTACACTAGAAATATAACTATTATTTACACATACCCTCTTTATATTTTGTTGCTGTAACCCATGAACTGTGCAGCTATTTAAAAGTCCAGTACTACCCAAGGACTTTTCCATAGTAGTTCCTATATGCTCACCCTATTAGGAAAATAAAGAATATTTCTGAAACCTGGTTACTCATTCAGGACAGGACTTAGACGTTAGAATTCTGTTTATGTCAGCTAGAATTGCAGATGACATATTATCATAGTTCTTACTTTCTGAACTACGGTATTAAAAAAAGCCTACCCTAAATAACAATCAAGTAGATACAAAGGTATATCCTATGAGACCTAGTATTATTTAATAAGTGGATATAAATACACACTACTACATTTTAAAACAGAATTGAGCAAGAAAATGAATAAAAAGTTCACTCCATCACAACTAAACACAGAGTTTCAAGTGTGAAAAGCTCCCACTAGTACCAGATGTTAGCAAGTAGCATCAAATTTGCTTTCTAGTGAATTTTGCACAACAATTAATTAATTTTACATATACTGTATATATATATATATTATATATATATATTATATATATATATATATATATATATATATATATATATATATATATATATATATATATATATATATATATATATATATATATATATATATGTGTGTATATCACGTAAACACGTAATTAAGAATGTGACAATGTCAGACCACGGAGGAAATGAAACAGGAATTTCCTTAAGTACTTTCGTATATTAAATACATCTTCAGAAGGAATCATTCCTTCTGAAGATGTATTTAATATACTACTTAAGGAAATTCCTGTTTCATTTTCCTCGTGGTCTGACATTGTCATTCATATTTATTATATATATATATATATATATATATATATATATATATATATATATATATATATATATATATATATATATATATATATATATATATATATATATATATATATATATATATATATATATATATTATTATATATGACCGAAAAAGTAAGATTAATAATTCTAACACGAATTTTCTCAATCTTTCGTACATTACGCTTCACTGTTGGAGGTAAATCAAAAATCACTTCTCCAAAATTCATTTTTATTTCTAGTCTGACGCGACACGGGCGCGTTTCGTAAAACTTATTACATTTTCAAAGACTTCACAAATACACAACTGATTAGAACGTATCTCTGATTTTATATCTACATTTGAGTGAGGTGGGAAGGGTGATGTGGCATTAACACAAGACAGAACAGGAGGGGATATTAATAGGGTATTAAAAGTATCAACACAAGACAGAACAGAAACAATGGGTATTGAATAGAAGTGTTTGTAGAAAGCCTATTGGTCCATATTTCTTGATGCTTCTATATTGGAGCGGAGTCTTGAGGTGGGTAGAATATAGTTGTGCAATAATTGGCTGTTGATTGCTGGTGTTGACTTCTTGATGTGTAGTGCCTCGCAAACGTCAAGCCGCCTGCTATCGTTGTATCTATCGATGATTTCTGTGTTGTTTACTAGGATTTCTCTGGCGATGGTTTGGTTATGGGAAGAGATTATATGTTCCTTAATGGAGCCCTGTTGCTTATGCATCGTTAAACGCCTAGAAAGAGATGTTGTTGTCTTGCCTATATACTGGGTTTTTTGGAGCTTACAGTCCCCAAGTGGGCATTTGAAGGCATAGACGACATTAGTCTCTTTTAAAGCGTTCTGTTTTGTGTCTGGAGAGTTTCTCATGAGTAGGCTGGCCGTTTTTCTGGTTTTATAGTAAATCGTCAGTTGTATCCTCTGATTTTTGTCTGTAGGGATAACGTTTCTATTAACAATATCTTTCAGGACCCTTTCCTCCGTTTTATGAGCTGTGGAAAAGAAGTTCCTGTAAAATAGTCTAATAGGGGGTATAGGTGTTGTGTTAGTTGTCTCTTCAGAGGTTGCATGGCTTTTCACTTTCCTTCTTATGATGTCTTCGATGAAACCATTGGAGAAGCCGTTATTGACTAGGACCTGCCTTACCCTACAGAGTTCTTCGTCGACTTGCTTCCATTCTGAGCTGTGGCTGAGAGCACGGTCGACGTATGCGTTAACAACACTCCTCTTGTACCTGTCAGGGCAGTCGCTGTTGGCATTTAGGCACATTCCTATGTTTGTTTCCTTAGTGTAGACTGCAGTGTGGAAACCTCCGCCCTTTTCCATGACTGTTACATCTAGAAAAGGCAGCTTCCCATCCTTTTCCGTCTCGTAAGTGAAACGCAGCACGGAACTCTGCTCAAATGCCTCCTTCAGCTTCTGCAGATGTCTGACATCAGGTACCTGTGTAAAAATGTCGTCAACATACCTGCAGTATATGGCCGGTTTCAAGTTCATGTCGACTAAGACTTTTTGCTCGATGGTACCCATGTAGAAGTTTGCAAACAGGACACCTAGGGGAGAACCCATGGCGACCCCATCTACTTGCTTATACATGTGCCCATCCGGGCTCAAGAAGGGTGCCTCTTTAGTACAAGCTTGGAGTAGTTTCCTCAGAATACTTTCTGGCATGTCAAGAGGAGTACAGGCTGGATCACGATACACTCTGTCGGCTATCATTCCGATTGTCTCGTCCACAGGTACGTTGGTAAACAGCGATTCTACGTCCAACGAGGCTCTTATCCCTGTGGCCCGTGTGCCCCGCAGTAAGTCCACAAATTCCTTTGGAGACTTCAGGCTGAAGGCGCAAGGAACATAAGGAGTCAGCAGGCCGTTGAGTCGCTTTGCCAGTCTGTACGTGGGTGTGGGTATCTGGCTAATGATTGGCCGAAGTGGGTTTCCAGGCTTGTGCGTCTTGACATTTCCATACGCATATCCAGGTTTATATTCCCCAATGATCTTTGGCAGGTGGAGTCCGGATTTCTTGGCGTTTACAGTTTCGATCAGTTTGTTGACCTTTGCTTTTAATTCGGCTGTAGTGTCCTTCGTTACCCTTTGGAACTTAGTTTGGTCAGAGAGTATGATGTTCATTTTCGCCAGATATTCGTCTTTTTTAAGAATGACATATATTGGCGACTTGTCACCTCTCCTGACAACTATCTCCTTGTTCTCACGAAGGCTTTTAGCTGCCGCTTTAAGCTCGGGGGACAGTATGGTGCTTCTGTAGTTGCCTCGATTCTTTCCTCCTTCTGCAATAAGTTCTGCTTGTAAGGTATCTTTGGTAGTGACCTTCTTTTGTGTCTCGAGGTCGAATATGTCGTCCAACAGAATTTCCAACTCTACTTTCCGGGCCATTTCACTCGGTCTGGACATAACATGACAGTTTATGCCCAGATTTAGGAGAGTGACTTGGTCCTCAGTGAGGTTAATTCCTGCAAGGTTCAGGAAGCCATCTCTTGGTCGTGGAATTGCCATAGGTCCTCCATATAATGTTGTTAGTTTCTTGATAATCCTTGTTTCAGTGCTGAGGTGATGTTGGTCTGTGAGGATGTCGAGGTGTTGTTCAATGCGGGTACGGATACTATGGTCGATGTTGCTATTTCTCCACTCGTTTGTAGCATGAAGTAGTTGCGTTTTGTTGTCTTTGATTTCATTCTCTGCCTTGTATATCTGATCACGAACCAGATCTCTAAATCGATATGTCATGTTATGTCCAGACCGAGTGAAATGGCCCGGAAAGTAGAGTTGGAAATTCTGTTGGACGACATATTCGACCTCGAGACACAAAAGAAGGTCACTACCAAAGATACCTTACAAGCAGAACTTATTGCAGAAGGAGGAAAGAATCGAGGCAACTACAGAAGCACCATACTGTCCCCCGAGCTTAAAGCGGCAGCTAAAAGCCTTCGTGAGAACAAGGAGATAGTTGTCAGAGAGGTGACAAGTCGCCAATATATGTCATTCTTAAAAAAGACGAATATCTGGCGAAAATGAACATCATACTCTCTGACCAAACTAAGTTCCAAAGGGTAACGAAGGACACTACAGCCGAATTAAAAGCAAAGGTCAACAAACTGATCGAAACTGTAAACGCCAAGAAATCCGGACTCCACCTGCCAAAGATCATTGGGGAATATAAACCTGGATATGCGTATGGAAATGTCAAGACGCACAAGCCTGGAAACCCACTTCGGCCAATCATTAGCCAGATACCCACACCCACGTACAGACTGGCAAAGCGACTCAACGGCCTGCTGACTCCTTATGTTCCTTGCGCCTTCAGCCTGAAGTCTCCAAAGGAATTTGTGGACTTACTGCGGGGCACACGGGCCACAGGGATAAGAGCCTCGTTGGACGTAGAATCGCTGTTTACCAACGTACCTGTGGACGAGACAATCGGAATGATAGCCGACAGAGTGTATCGTGATCCAGCCTGTACTCCTCTTGACATGCCAGAAAGTATTCTGAGGAAACTACTCCAAGCTTGTACTAAAGAGGCACCCTTCTTGAGCCCGGATGGGCACATGTATAAGCAAGTAGATGGGGTCGCCATGGGTTCTCCCCTAGGTGTCCTGTTTGCAAACTTCTACATGGGTACCATCGAGCAAAAAGTCTTAGTCGACATGAACTTGAAACCGGCCATATACTGCAGGTATGTTGACGACATTTTTACACAGGTACCTGATGTCAGACATCTGCAGAAGCTGAAGGAGGCATTTGAGCAGAGTTCCGTGCTGCGTTTCACTTACGAGACGGAAAAGGATGGGAAGCTGCCTTTTCTAGATGTAACAGTCATGGAAAAGGGCGGAGGTTTCCACACTGCAGTCTACACTAAGGAAACAAACATAGGAATGTGCCTAAATGCCAACAGCGACTGCCCTGACAGGTACAAGAGGAGTGTTGTTAACGCATACGTCGACCGTGCTCTCAGCCACAGCTCAGAATGGAAGCAAGTCGACGAAGAACTCTGTAGGGTAAGGCAGGTCCTAGTCAATAACGGCTTCTCCAATGGTTTCATCGAAGACATCATAAGAAGGAAAGTGAAAA